AGGAGCAGCTGAAGTCCTTGGGCTTGTCCACTTTGGAGAGACAGAGGCTGAACAGTGACCTCAGTGCTCTCCACAGCTTCATGAGGAGGGGAAGGGCACAGGGAGGTGCTGAGCTCTTCTGCCAGGCATCCAGGGGCAGGAGGAGTAGGAATGGCTCACAGCTGAAGCAGGGGAGGTTTAGACTGGATACCAGGAAGCATTTCCTTAGCACAGGGGTGTGTGGGTGGTCACATAGAAGAGCAGGCATCCTGGAGAGGTGGTTGATGCCCCAACTCTGTGAATGTTTAAGAAGCATTTGGACAGTGCCCTTAATAACAGGCTTTAACTTTTAGTCAGCGCTGAAGTGGTCTGACAGTTGTACGTCCCTTCCAATTGAAACAGTTTGTTCCTTTCTAAATTCCCCAAAAGAATTCTCTGTTTTAAAAAAATCAAGGGTAAATCATTGTATTACATTGCAGTGTAATTTATTTTAGAATAAAGCATTTGAAGTGTTGGGAAACCTATGTATGTTTCTCTTTCTGCCAGATTACAGCGACCACATGTCTACCTGCCAGTTCACCTTTATGGCCAACTGGTGCACCATAAAACAGGCTGCCATTTATTGGAGTCTCAGGTGAGGATAGTAATCATTTGTAGCTTGAAATATTTTAAAGATCACTGTAAACCTTTTGAAAAATGTTACAAAAGAGATGGCATTTAAATAGACATTGCAGAAGAAGTTGATTATGAGTCTTAAGTTGTGAAGACAGTCTTTGCCATCTAATCTCATGTAAAATTCCTCCCTGACACTGAAATATCACCAAAATACTTTGCAACATTTTTCTTAAAATGACTAGCAAAATCTTAGCATGGAAGGCCAATTCATAAACAGAAAAAATTGTTAATCTCTGTGGACTGTATATTTACAGTTATACAGGTGGTAAAACTATGCCTATCCTTTTAAGCATACAGAAATTGGGAGATGAGGGAATAAAATCTTTCTAATATCTTGAAAATCTAAGAAAACAAACCCTAAGCCATAATTGCTTAAATTGACTTTTAATGTGGGATGAATTAGTGAATTAACAATACTCTTTGAAAAGTTCAAGAGAAAATGTATATAGAAATGTGTGTAGAAAGTGTCTTGCAGTGTGTTATTTGACTAATCTATCATCTTTATAATATCTGGAATAACTTCATGCAATCTGTGATTTCATTAAAACTTTCTTTCGTATTATCACTGCTGTTAATTTATGGTGGTTATTCCGGAATTGCCACTGTTCTTCCTAGAGTGTGTGATTTAAATTATTGCTTTAACTTTTACTGTAAATGCAAGAGAACCTTTTTGACTGAAGTCTCTTATTCATTTTCAACTTAGTTTTTTCTTTTTCTGTTTTTCTCCTTCAGAGTATTGTTACAGATCTAAGTTACACTGTTCGTTCTCCAATGCTGGATAAGTGGGAAGGAATTAAGCAGCTGAAAGCAGCCCTTTGGGCCTTGGTTAGTAATATATTTACGAAGTTTTGAAGTTGTTTAGTTCTGTTGTAACTGTTGAATCTTAAATAACTAAGCAAAATTCTATAAAAATAAGAAATTAGGGGTTTTTTTTCAAAAAAAGTGTGATTTTTTCAAGTTGGCATTTTGTTCCATAACTATACTTCCAGTTGGAAATGATTCTTCTGTTTCATTCTGAGGTTTTTGAGAATCACTTTGTCTTTTTTTCTTTTTAGCAAGTAAGAATAACACATTGCCACATGAATATTAGTATGGAACTGGTAGTTACAAACTAAGTTTCCATGGTCTTAGTTTAATGTATTTACTGTGGTAGTCCCTAATGTTTTTGCAAGGATATTGGCTCCCAGTGTTGATCCATGTGGTCATGTCACCCTCGTACTTGGGACAGACAAAAACCTAGTGTTGGTGTGTTTCCAAGCTACACTCCTAAATGTGCTTCTTGTCTTCCCCAAAGTTAATTTTGGAGCATTTGTCCAAGGTGCTATTACTGGAAGATACTGTAGGTATGTAACAAGATGCCTGTGTAAGAGGAATGTATAAACCAAGATCATGCTGCAGGCTACAGTAGAACTTGTAAAGTGAGGAATACATAGTAGTTCTAACTTTGAGCAGCTTTAAGTATTATACACAGTGTGCTGAGTGCTTTTTTGCATTAACACAGCTAGGAAATGTCAGAAAGGGTACTCAGATCTTTTAACTGCTTTGAGAAGATGTGGCTTCAAACGTACAACCAACAAACAAAATTGTCAAAGCTTTACATTGGTAGTGCTGCAGATCACATTAACATCAAAACTTACTTGACAAATTTCATTCCAGGGCAATATTGGATCATCGAATTGGGGTCTTAACTTGCTGCAAGAGGAGAATGTAATTCCTGATATAATGGCACTTGCTCAACATTGCGAAGTTCTGTCTGTTAGAGGGTATGTGCATCTGATTTATGCGTAAAATTTTCAGATTGTAATTGTGATCAGTTTTCAAATAGCTTTACCTGCTTTACAAAAATACAGATTTGTACTTTAGTGGAAACAATTATTAAAGTCACTGATGATTGAGTATCAGTTTTACTTCTCTGCAACTGCAAAATTGTGTAGGAAATCTTGAACATGTAGTAAACAAATGAAATCTATGAAAAAAGGTAGATACTATTTTTCTCCTGTTATATAAAGCAAAATACTTGCTGTTTATATCTCTGTCAGAATTTATTATTAAATCTTTTTATTAAATATCTTTTTAACATATTTAAAAGCATAAATAAATGGTATTTTGTCTGATATTGCTACTACTTAAGTGTTTGGCCTTTTTTTCAAAAGGTTCTTTTCTACTTCATGTAATCAGGCTCTGTGATAATTTTTATTTTTTAATAGTATCTTATTCTCAGATATATTAATGAATTTCTTAAGCTCACATTGATTTACAAATAAAAATAAACAATATATTATTTGTCAGTTTTGTGAAGTTTCTCCTGAATTACTTTGAAACTGCTTCCTTTCAAATATGAAGTAAGTTTAGTTAAATATGGTGCTATTATTGTTGCTCTTTTTTCTACATGTACATTATTTACAGAACCTGTGTCTACGTGCTTGGTCTAATAGCCAAAACTAAACAAGGATGTGACATTTTGAAGCATCACAATTGGGATGCAGTGAGACACAGTCGTAGACAGCCTTGGCCCGTGGTCCCTGATGACATGGAGCAGCTCTGCAATGAACTTTCTTCTATACCCAGCACTCTTAGCTTGAACTCTGAGTCTACCAGTTCTAGGCACAACAGTGAAAGTGAATCTGCTCCATCAAGTAAGTAACCAGAACACCAAAACAATCAAACAGGAGAAAAATGAGCAAGGAAACAAAAAAAAACCTGCAAAGAGCCCAATCCACCAAAACACCGTTTTGCTGTTCTTTCCAGCCTTTTGGCAGGATGAGGTTCAGACCAATAGTGATCTTTCAATAAAACAATACAAGCAATAGGACAGTTATGTCCATTCAGAGAGATGAGGTCAGAGGGGGTGAAACAGTGTCTTAGCTTCACATTTGGTTTAGAAGAAAAATTTTCACATGAGGGTAAGTTACTAATTTCTACGTTGAGTCGTGGTCGTTTGCTGTAACATGCTGCAGAAACTGCCATGCTTAGGTATAAAAATACACTTGGTTGTCCTCAAAGGAATATTCCAGAAAAGAAGTATTTATGTTCTCTGGCTGTACACATACACCCAGAACTTTGCTGTATTTAAATTATTGTGTATTTCAAGTACCTAATGCATTCTATTTTTTGTATGGATACTTGGAATTTAAATTAAGAAACAACCATGTTTAGGTATCATTAAAGTTCTTAGGTTATAATTCTAGTAGCTGGATGTTTGCACTGAAGTAAGAGTGTGCCGTTTCTTTTAAAGCAGTGAGATCTTCAGCTCAGTTACTCCTCAAGATAGCTAATTTGTACGAAGTTCTGCAGGAAAAAAAAGTATTAAAGTTGCAGTAAATTGCATAGACTCCCACTTGGGCTTCTACAGAATGGCTTCCTATTTTGCAGCATGATTTGTAGACATTGAAGAAATGCCTATTTTGTGTGACAAAGTCTCGTATGATTTCAGGTATGTTCATCATGGAGGATGACCGTTTTGGTAGTACTTCCACCAGTACTTTCTTCCTAGATATTACTGAAGATGCAGAACAAATATTTTATGACAGACCTGGACCTTCAAAGGACAAAGACCGTAGTCCCTTTCCTTTTTTTTCTTCTAGTAGACTGGTGAAAAATCGCATTCTAAACTCTCTTACTCTGCCTAATAAAAAACACAGAAGTAGCAGTGATCCAAAAGGAGGAAAGCTGACATCATCTGACAGTAAATCAGGCCTGAGGCGAAATCGTACAGTTACAGAACCTAGTGGTAGCATAGACTTTCCTGCTGGGGAAGAATTGAACCCTGTTTTCAGAGTTCCAAAAATTCAGACTTTACGATTAGAAACTTCTTTTGTTGGAAGTAAGCATGTGGAAGATACTGATTGTGCTCAGAGTATTGGAGAAAATGATCTGAAGCTGCCAAAAGGTCTCGGAAATGAAATTCATCGGGAAAACACAAGCAAAGAAAGGCTAATAGGAGATGGTACTACACAAACGCATTTCAAGAGTCGTAGCTTAAGTTTTAATACAGATACCACAACAAGTGGCATAAGTTCCATGAGCTCAAGTCCTTCAAGGGAGACTGTAGGTGTGGACACTGCAAATGTAGATACTGACTGCGGAAGTTTGAGTACTGTTGTAAGCACAAAAACAGTTAAACCAAGTCACTGCTCAACACCACAGTCTAACCACCTGCCTCTCTCAAAATCCAACTCTGTGTCCCTGGTTCCACCAGGGTCTTCTCATACCCTTCCAAGAAGAGCCCAGTCTCTTAAAGCTCCTTCTCTTGCTACGATAAAAAGTCTTGCTGACTATAACTTCAGCTACACAAGTTCTCGAGATGCGTTTGGCTATGCCACACTAAAGCGCCTGCAGCAGCAGAGGATGCATCCCTCACTGTCTCACTCAGAAGCCCTGGCATCTCCAGCAAAGGATGTACTGTTTACTGACACTATCACCATGAAGTCTGGCAGCCTGGATTCTCGGCTAACCCCAAGCCGGTAAGAAATTATTATGTGCTCATTTCTTACTTCAGTCCTGTAAGAACAACGTGTCTTCCTAATATTTTTTTGGATCTGCACCTAAAAGGGACAGTTGTTGCAAGGTGATTCATAACTTCACTGAAAGAAGTACTGGTATTTAAGTGAATAACAGAAGGATCATTCTCAGCTTTGAAAGTGCTGTCAGAGAAGCCCAGCTTTCATAGCTGCCATTATTAAAGTTGCAAACACACCGAATTGCTCATGAAGTCAGAGTTGTATTTCAGAAGAGAATTTTCTCGATGTCACTTGGGGAGGTTTTAGGACAGGGCCTCCTGCCAATATGCTATATTTGTGTTCACTGTGACACTGAGGGTTATCACTGATAGGAATGTCAGTTTGGCTTCTTAGCTACAGCAGATCAAAGATTTTACTCATAGCATTTATTTTTAGATGGCAGTGTCACCTTTTCATTTTTGAGCAATATTAGATGTTCTGAAGACTAATTAGATAGTTACATAAGATGTCTAGCTCTTGACATTGACACTGTTCCCAGCGGCAACAGTCACTGCTTAATAACCTTCCCTTAAAAGCTCTTGTATTAAATTTTTTCTTAACATCATCCTTTAGCTAGTGCATTGGATTTTCACATTACTGTTGAAATGGAAAAGGCACTTTTTATCTCTGTTCTTACGTTATCATCTCTCGAATGAGAGAATGTGGAGACACTACCAGTACATGAGTCATCTGCTTAGTGCAGAAAAAGCAAATGCTTGGTCCTTGAGCTGCCCTCCTCATACCCAGTTGCATGTATATGTCCTGATTAAAATAAACATCCGTTTGTTGATATTTTCACATCATTCTGGAAAGATGCTATGAAAGATGCCTTTGTTCTAATAAGTTAGAGCTAGACTGAGTATGTTGGTTAGATTAAGGATGATACAGTAGTTACCCTGTGCTATCCTGGAAACTGGAAGTGCCATTCTTTGCTATGTCACTGGCATCCTGTGCTAGTGGAGGAACGAGTGGGTGTCATTTCAGTGGTAGTACAGGTTCTGTAATGGCTGTAAGTAATGTTTTACCATTCCTTGCAGTCATGCCCTTGATGTGCAGAGCAGCCTTGCTGCAGTGGACTTTGATCCTGCACGCAGTGTCATACTGACTATTCCTGGTGCTTAACTGTTCATGTTCTCTTGTGTCAGTGGATAGAGTCAAGGATTTGAGCTGACCTGCTTAACTGAAATGTCTGGAGTGCTTGTATCTCTGAGAAGGTTAAATAATTGCAGACATGCATATTCAAAGAGAGATTCAGATTGTGTTAGTTGTTAATATAATTGATTGGAACGACTGCAGTGAAACCAGTACATGTGTTTTTCTTGCTGATTATGCTGTGTCCCCACTGAAAAATTATGGTCCTTATAATTTCAGATTGTATTTACTAATAATAAATTCAGAGTACATTTACTGGTCCAGCTAAAGCTGTCCTTAGCAGCTTTTTAAAAATAAACTAGAAAGAAAAATTCTGTCCTTTTTAACCGCCAAATCAATTTTTCAGTCTTCAGAAAACTTTTATTTACAGTTTATTGACAGATTCACGTGCTAGTAGCCATTAACAATCATAGATTTACTTCTACGATGTTTTCAGTTCTTTTTATTCAGAAGGTTAAAAAGCCTTTTTCTTTGCATAAATTTTGTGAGGATCAACTTCCCACCTTTGTTTTTAAAGACCAACCAGAAATACCAACATGCATGTCTTGGATCCTGATGGTGGCTCTCACCCTATCACCTGCAGACACACTTCCATGAAAAACTTGGTAGTGTTTATCACTGCTAATGCTGTATCTGTTAGCTTTTCTAGGAAAAGCAGGGACAAACATTTAGAATTAATACTTCTATTTTTAATTTACGTTGAGAGTTATTGTAGAATGTTTTGTTATTAAGTAGTTAACGCAGTTGGTAACTTTCTGAGTTTTATGATTACACAATTATTTAGGTTAGAAAAGACCCCTAAGATTGACTCCAGCTATTAACACAACATGCCCAAGCCCTCCACAAAACAAAGAACCTGCAAACTAGGTCCTTAAGTGCCACATCTACATGTCTTTTAAATATCTTCAGGGATGGTGACTCAACTGCTTCCCTGGGCAGACTGTTCCAGTGTTTGACAACCCTTTCAGTGAAGAAGTTTTTCTTAATATCCAATCTAAATCTCCTCTGGCACAAATTGAGGTCTTTTCCCTCTTTTTTTGAAGTATGGCTTGACTTCTGTTGTGAGTCCATTGCTACTGTCACTAGCATTGGTCAGAATTACCAGTAAGAAATCTGTTGATATCCTCTGTTGTATTTTGTGCATTTCCATTGCATAATAATTTCTTGAACCTTCCATGGTCAAACTTTGATAATTTAATTTTATCTCAATATAAATCCCATCTGTAGGGATAAGAGGACACCTTATTGCTCATCTAAAATAAAAAATTGATTGAAAACTTCTTCCAAGGCAAAAAGTCAAAAAATAATAAAACGTTCACTTTACCCTCCAGAGTGTGTCATAATTCGCAGTAAATATTCACTGTTCCTGATGTGTGTTTTTGTGTCAGCAGTCCTTCTTACTTTTAATGTGCCAGAATGAGAACCTGCAGTTGTGATTTATTTGTTTTAATGTTACAGGTTCATGAAAGCTTTAAGTTATGCTTCGTTAGATAAAGAAGATTTATTAAGTCCTATTAACCAAAACACACTTCAGCGTTCCTCCTCTGTTCGCTCCATGGTTTCTAATGCTACCTATGGTAGCTCTGATGATTACATTGGCCTTGCTCTTCCAGTGGATATCAACGAAATATTTCAGGTATGCATGTTAACTGATTTGGTTCATTTGCATTTTTTTACTAAAAGGCAGTTGACTGTTTCCTTTTCATCAGAATAGATTACATTTAGAGAAATGAGGAAAAATGGGTGTGGTACTTTAAAGAAATGCAGTTTGGAGAACTAGTTTCTTTTCTAACTGTTCTTCTAACCTTTGTACTCAAGATCACTGGGCTAATTTGTGGTTTAAAATCAAGTTATAGCAAAGACTGTTAGAGGAGTGTTAAACAGTGGTGACAAATTTGCTGTCGTAAGATTTTTAGTTGACATCTGGCTTTTGTACTAAAATTAGCATATTCGTTAATTCATTAATTCTGCTTTAGCCAACCAAAAATTGGCATGTTCATCAGTCACCTGTAAAGTATATGTGTAATCACACAGTTAATTCCCTGTTACGATGGTCTGTATTAAATAATAGATTATTTTTATAAATATCATTATAGTATTGTATTAAATTGTCTTAATTTTGAAGATAAATAAGTTAGAACAGATTATTTTTAGTGTCTCAGCAAATTCCTTCCTCTTTCTACTTGATAGAAACATACGCGTTTAACAAACTAATGCATCATGGGGTTTAATATTCTGTTACTTTGTTATCAAAATCAGGACATGGTCTATGTCAAAGGTAAAAGTGGGCTTCCTTATTTTTATTTTACTTAGTCTTTGCCTTTCAAATCTAAATAAATTTCTTTACAGTCTCAAAAAAGTGCTAAACAGAAAGCAAAATCATGTTATATCATGTATCTGCTTCTGTTTTTCCTTTGTGAAATGACTACTTTCTCTTTCACAGTCTTTGTGGCATATTTGCTACCTAATCTCGTCTCTCTCAGATCGTTTTGTAGTTGAGACATGCCTCAGCTCTATGTCCTGCAGGCCGCATTTTAGATGTCCTGGTTGTTTTTGTACTACATTTCCAGTGCCTCCAGTGGTGTAGTGTGATTCATGGACAGATCATGAATGGCCACTGTAGGTCTCTGGTGTCTTTATAGCCTGTCACCACCATTTTAATATTTGCTAACTCTTACATGAGCCTTTGTTAATAAATGTTCATTCACAAATGCGGAAATGTTTTTCTCATTTGGCTTTTCTTTAGTACTCAGGAGCTGATTCTTAATTTCTTCCTCTTATGATATATTTTTCCTGAAGTAAAAGACAGACAACATTTAATTGCCTTATAAAATCGGGTTTTTTTTCCTTGTATTTGATTATGACCTCTGTTAATTTTAATTTTCACTTGGGTATTCCAGGTAAAAGAAACTCCCTATTTCCAGAAGAAAACTACACCTCCATTTGACGAGCATGGATCTAGAGTCTTTACTTCTGATGCAGGAGGTACTGGTCTTACTCCTCTCCTGTAGCTTTCTGTTGTTTATTTGTATATTGGATGGGTGTTGATTTATTTGTTAATTTTTCTTTTAGAAAACATTATTTTAGCTGTTAAACTTTGAGGACTGTGTTCTGGAATCAGGACAGTAGGCGATTAACGCCCTGCTTTATTTAGTTTGAGCTAATGTGTTGCTTCAAAGTTTGGTCCTGCTCTAAAAAAAATTAAGGAGGAAGGCTTGCATATCTCTGATAACGTGAGCTAATGCTGCTCAAAGTCTGGTGGTGACACTGTATTACAGGAAGTAATTTAAGCTTAGAAAAATATGAATCCCACATACTGAACTATTTCCCTTTGATTACACATTCATTTATAGGAACTTATTACTGTGTTAGATGTGTATTTGAGAAAGTAAATCGTCTTTCTGTGATGTGCCCATGACAGTTTATCAGTGAAGATGATGGGACAAGAGAATTGCAAGTGCTCTAATGCCTGGCTTGCTCTGGAATGTACCTCCTATTTACTCCGGAGAAGTCAGAAATATGTAGGGTCTTAGTATGTGTCTTTTCAGCTGAAGAAAAGGAGGCTTGGCACTGGTTTTTTTTAATCGTTTATTAGGGCAGCTGTTGTCCTGTGTTTGCTTTGGGTTTTTTTTCCCTTTCGTATTAATATTATGCACAAAGTTCATTTTGCTGGAGGCGTGTTTCTGTAGTTTGCTAAGTTTCAGTGTAAAGTAACTCTTGTTCAAAACTGTATTTGTTTGTTTTTTCCACCCAGGGAAGAGCATGTCACTAAAGTGTCTTCTGCTTGTTTCTGCATTGCTGAGTCTAGTTTCTTCCTGTCACGGTCACTAAGTTACAGTTTTTTAAATTGTGTTTATTTTTGCATTCATGCATGTGTAATTTCAACATCTGGTATATCGTTGTGTTAATCTCATTTGACACTATGAAAATTGGTAATGTATTGGTGTTATGTGGGTATTAGTAATGTTGATACCATGTCAGGATTTACTACTTACCTTCTTACTCTGTGTGCTTAGAGGTTGAATTCTGTCCTTTGCAATGTTTTGTTATGTATAGTAAGTTGGGACTAAAACTTTGTCTCTTTCTCAAATACTAGCAACCTTGGGAGTTTAACCACTCAAAAAAAACCAACTGTATAGGTCTTCACATGCACTCCATCCCCAGCCTTAAAAGGCTTGAAAGTGGAAATTAATTGAGAGAGTTAGTGTTGGTTGCTTGGTTTTGTGGAGTTTTTTTGTTAACTGAATCTTATTTACAGGTCTTCCATCAGGTGCCAGTGATGTTGTCAAAAGCCCTTTCCAGATGCTGCGCCAGCAGATCAGTCTCACAGAAATAATGAATACCAGCCGTTCAGATGCCTGTCAGTTCTTAGAAGGTACAGAGGACACAGGGCTCCAGGAGCACACGGATGAGAACTGTCTCTACTGTGTCTGCGTTCAGATTCTGGGTTATCAGCCTAACACCAAAGTGAGCTCTTCCTATAATCGTACAGGTTAGTGTTGCCTGTGGAGAAGTGTAATAAAACTGATAATACTGACTTTTGTTCATCTTTAAATAATCTGCAAAGGTTTTTGTTTAATTGACTATTGACCTTAAAATTATTTCTCTAGTAAGATCATTGTGTCACCAGTGGTATTGCTATGGTCATTTCCAGCTTTCCATTTTTAGCGTTAGAAGTAGGTGCCTGCATGTTCCTTTAAATAGTCCTTAAAGTATGTCAAAATAAAAGATTTTAAACCTTATTTAGTTCTTAAAATGCGTGTTCTGAAAACTGACACTGACTGTTCAGCTAATGAAAAGTCTGACGTCAAATCAAGTCTGTGCCGTAAAATACAGCAAAGGAAATGCGTGGAGTCTGTTGAAGCTGAGCTGTAATTTCTGGGATTTAGTCATCTTCTCTCATATTTTGAGATTCAGACGAGATTCGGAATTATTTTTTCTACCTTTCTCCGCAGAGCTTGCAGTTACATACCTTTTGTCAATTCCTGTGATGGAAAGATAATCCAGTAGCAGATGCTTAGTAGGAATCCTCCCTGTTTTACGACACTGTTAGACATGTATTGGTAGCAATGTTGGCAGAGGGCGATGCACAAATGTGAGGAATGGCTCAGAGAGCTGAGCTGGAGGTTGAGTTCTGTAGCAAGAAGGGGTGGCAAATAAAATCCCAGCTATAGTTACAGGTGCAACACAGCATGGCTCTTGCCAGAGCCCTTCCTGCAAATACCTGTGATAGCTGTGTGAACATAAAAAAGCCTGCACATGCAAGAGCATCTCTATTGTGTTACATAAAATGGAGCAGGGATAAATCAGTAACAGTACTTTGTGTAGTAGCTTCTTAGGCTTCCATCATGTCTGGAAAAGACTCATGTATTTTAAGACTTAAAAAAAAAAAAAAAACAAACAATTTTGGAAGAGTTTTAGTATGTTTTGTCCAGAATCCACCATCTAGTTGTAAGCTGATTTATGCATAGTATGTAGTGCATCAGTATCTTGTATGTTTGTCATTGTTGAAACATAATGAAAGTATGTGAATTGAGGAAAAGTGTGAATAACAAAGGTACAACATCTTCTTAATGTCAGATTTTTCAGACATTCCATATACTGACTGGTGTGGGCAGACCATTCACAATCACTTAGATGTGCATTCCTCCAAATTTTCTGGAATTTCAGGCTGTAGTGATGCAGTATCCCATGGTTCAGCCAGCAGTACCAAGAGTACAGAGCTTGTATTAGGTAAGTTTCAAAGCCTTACAATTGAGACTATCTATACTAATAAAGTATATTTTAGGCTTTGTGAAAAAGTTGTATTTCACTTATGTACACTGCAACTCTAATGCTCTATATTAGACAAAACAGCAACCAATCTGAATAAAAACATTATCCCTTTCCAGGTGAGAGAATATAGTTCTAAACTCTTTCCCCTCTGCTATACAGCATTTCTGCAGATTATTCAATACCTGACATTACAAGCAAATAAATTTCCTTTTTTTCCCACAGATGTTAATTTTAAAAGCTAATTTTAAACTTTTTTTTTAGAAAGTGCAAGAATTACTGTAAAGAGAGATTTTTTTATATACCTTTGTATTATATTTTAAATTATGATGTTTTTTACAAAGTAGCTGATTTTCAAATTCTCCACTATTTGATAAAAGCTCATCCAGTTTGCAACATGAATTAGGGTAACAATACCACTGTAACTTTATCTTGCCGGTTTTTCTTTTAAATGATAGAAATATTTTTGAAAAGGTAAACCGTTCAAATTCCTGAAAATAGTGGTGTTCTAACTTCACTAGAAATATTTTTGGTAGCTCAGAATATATACGTAAATATGCGTGTTCATGTGTGTATGGAATGCATGAACAGACGTACAGTGTAAGATTAGCTCAAAGACAATTCTGTTTAAATCCACACACTGTTTTGTTTATTTTTCCAGGAGTAAAGTCAATCCCAGATGACACACCAGTGTGCCGGATACTTCTGCGGAAAGAGGTCTTACGTTTAGTTATCAATTTGAGCAGTTCAGTAGGAACTAAGGGCCATGAAACTGGACTGCTGACGTAAGTTCAGTACATTACAGATGCTTGAGCAGCAGTTAGTCGTTGTGTTAAGTATTGTGTTAAGGTCTCACGGACAGTGAATAATCTTACTTCTCAAAAGTCAGGCAGATATGATTGAATGTAATGTAGAAGCTAAGCTAATAATTTTAACTATTTTGCTCTGTGTTTAGTATTCTACTCTTAACCAGGCTTTTTAAAATCAGTAATTCAACTGTAGTGATTACGTACCTAGTGTAGCATGTATCTTTACAAAAGAAACTAATTCTTTTTTTTTTTTTACTGAATAATAGATGAGTACAATAAAAAACTGAAAGTGACTTCTTGAAGAGCCCAGCTCTACTTTAAGCAACTCCTGAAAATAATTTATTTACAAAAAATATTCAAATACAGGAATATAAATCCAGGGACTAAATCTTATAACCTGTGGGTTCCTGGGCTAGTGATATTGGAAACCAACAACTGCTAAAAGAAAATGGAGAAATGTGTGTTTTAGTTTCAAAAATGCTTACAGGTTTAAAAGATTCGTTTAATCTTTTTCCATATTTTTATGACTGATGTACATGTGGATGACAATTATTTGATACACTGTTCTCTTTCTAAGTCTGTTACTTTAAGCCTAGGCAATCTCAGTGACTGTAGAACTTACAAGTTATATATTCTGTTTCATCTCATTAGTGTAGACTTCTTCCAGTTTTGTGCAAAGTAATGCTGTCTGTTGTGATTTTCTTGCTTTGTCAGTTCTAGGATTTATAATGCCTATTACTGAAGAATTAATTATGACAATCTTATTGAAAAGTTTGGGGTTTTTTTAATACAATGGAAATCTGTTCAAGGCTTAAAAAAATTCGTTTATTCTCTTGTTCAGAATTAAGGAGAAGTACCCCCAAGCATTTGATGACATATGCCTTTACTCTGAGGTGTCCTACTTGCTAGCACATTGTACATTTCGACTTCCATCCCGAAGGTTCATTCAGGAGCTGTTTCAAGATGTTCAGTTCTTGCAGGTAAGTGGAGGGTGCACACGCAGTGAATGTACCTAAATGGCTGTCTGGGTGCAGGTTCCATGTCCTGCATAATCAGATAGGTACATCCTCAAAGAAACCATTTTGTGATGTCTCCTGAGTAAAATCTCTAGCAATATTAATACTCCATCCTTTCCTTTTAGATGCATGAGGAAGCAGAAGCGATTTTGGCAACCCCGACGAAACAGCCTGTAATCGATGCATCAGCTGAGTCCTGACCTCTGCTCAGGCCGTGCTCTGCATATGGACTTTGAAATGCTCAGACAACCTCCCACTGACTGGATAAAAAGTTTGGAACATCATCTTCGAAACCTTCCAGAAGCTACTGGTACCTGAAGACTGAACTGAAAACATTTTCTTCCTCAACCAATTACTGGCACAGTCATTTGAGCCCTTTGGGGATTTATTAGACATTACCATAGTTTTAATAATAGTAATTACCAGTATATGCAAGAGCCAAGCACTGAACACCTCCACAAGTTTTCATTTCATTTTTTACCATAAATTACAATGAAATAGGACAACTTGCAGAGACATTTTTAATTGACTTCCGATTCTGTTCCAGAGAAGCAGAATGATGCCTTGCTTTTTAAACCTGGATACCAGGAATCAGAGAGATGGGGGTGCATTCCACTGCCAGCAATGGGGAGCCTTGCTGTAGTTGTGGGCACCAGGGGATTAATGTTAGCCCTTCTCTGTTGATTTTTGTACTGTTTATAACACTACTTTGGGGATTTGTAACTTCAGACAGAAAGAAATGAATCTGAGGTTTCATTAAGTTATTTTAATATTGCTATAGTTGTAAGACATTTTATTAGCAGTCTCTTCTATTTCATTGCATACATGTATCTTATCTGAACCAGTTAAGGATTTTCACTACAATTTGATTTTCAAAACAAGTCATTTAAAACTTAAAATGCTGTAATAGATTGTTTTCCCTGAATACTATGCATGTGTTTGCAGTTTCTACACTCATGGTCATATAGTACAGATGTGGGTCTTACTCAACTGCAATTCTTTAAAAAGCATGATTTGTATCAGATAAGCAAATATTGTATAAACTGAACTTGAAGACATTTAATCATTGCAGGTTTTGTGAGGAGAATTATGTATGAGTGTTTTCCAAGTTCCACAGAAAAAGCTTTTTATAAAAACAAAGGTTTATTTGAATTTTCAATGGATTAGTGATCAAGCATCAGATAGTACTAATAATTGTAGTGAAAAGCCTTAAAGTAACAAATTTTGGAGCAGCCGTACTTATAATTTTGTACTGGTATTTAAGACTTGTTGCAAAAGTTAAATGATACAGTGACTGGTAATGATTGAAGTAGTTGCCTCTATCCTGTTACTAGTGCCGTTTCTAAACTAGTAAGTGCAAGCTAAAAAAAAAAATAGGAATCCCTGTCACTTTTATCATGGATCTAAAGATTCAGAAGCCTTTATATAAAGGTAGTATAAATATATGCAAATGTGTATATACAGTAGCATGGCCACCTTTGTTAGAATGCCTGTAATAGAAGGGATTACCCTTTGATTTTGATATAGGTGAATAATTCAGCTGGACTGTACTAAGTAGAACGTATTTTTATCCATTCACTCCTACCATTTTTTATAATTGTCAGATTAATACTTAAGTGAAATTTATCCTGATGCTCATATCTCTGTTCTTACTAGCTATGCTACTGGAGATTTCAATAAGTAGTCCTGTGAACAGTAACACACAATTCCTAGTGAAACGTAGAATTTATTTGTTCTCATTGGAAATTTCATCATGCCACATAAGCACTGCTTTGCAGCTATCACTTCCCTGAATTCTAGTGTGCACTGCATACCATCAGGTTCTGGTAAAGCAGACTGTAAGTTGCTGCTCATAGTCAAATTTAGTTCCTTAGATTATCTTTTCATGAGTTCCCACTGAAAGGAGCAAAAAGAAACTGATTGAGCTCTTCTATGGTCATTGACTTAAATAATACATCTGTGTGGCAAGACATGTTTGAAGTTTTTAGTAAACACACCACACCAGTAACTATTAGACTTCTGGTCGTGAGAAATAAATGCTTCTGTAAAACCAAAATGTCAATCACAGTAGACCAAATAGTGGTATAAACTCCAAAGGAAAATAATGTAGTTTTCCCACAAATGGGGATAGCATATGTTATACAGTAGTTTCAAACACTACCTCAGTTAGGCTAGAGTAGAAGAGATTTGTTTTAATAACTAAATGGAGTTACATCAAACAACTCCATGTTATTTTTCTGCAGTTAAGGCAAAATAAACAAGTTTTATCACCTGTATTTAAAAAACCCACCTCTGTTCATTGTTAAGTTTAACCCATAGCACTTAATGTAGAAAGCATCATAGGAAGGCCTCCGATTATAGGAAAGTAAGCAAATATACTTTTGAAAGAATCTCCATCCTGAAATGCTCATGTGTTCTGAATAACACGCTTGTGTGGGGATCCATGACAACAGAAACTTGACATAAAAAATTATGGCTGCAAATTCAGTTATAAAGCGTGATTTTTCTTCTGAAAGTGTATGAGTGTCAGTAGATTTCAACAAGTATGCATCAAGGATGTTAAGTCTGTATTGTACATAACATACATTTCTAGAAAATTAATTTACACACTGACATTAAGCTCACATTGATGTTTCACTTTAATTGGCATATGAAGGGGATACTGTTATTGAAGGAAATTTATATTGGCTTAGATATAAACTGTGAATTTCTAATTTTATAGTTCTCTTTTTTTTAAATGTCCCTTTCAAAGTCCTTATTTTGGGGTTTTATTTGTATCATGATAAAACTTCGAAAGAAAGCTGTAGTAAATAATGATTGTGCTTACATTAGCCCTAATAAAAAATCTCTTCCACTTCTCCTAGGGAAGCTGACAGACCACCCACTTTTTATATTTCCAGTCTGAGTGATTGGTGATACTGCTCAATAAATGGTAACATGTGTAGCATTCACTTGAACTGTACACAAATGCAGTTCGGTTGCTGTGGCAGGGAAAACTCCTCAAGGACTCAACTTGCTCACACACAGCCCAGAGGTGGGAGTCGCTCCAGGAGGGAGAGGCTGCTTGTGGAACCATCAGCTGCTTGATTTTCCTGGTCTGCTCTGTCAGGCAGGGGAAGGGGGAGCCCTTTCCAAAGAGCAGAGAGCTGACTGACAGGCGCCTCCATGACGGCCTGGTCCTCTCCACGGAGGGAAGCAGGACAAGGCTGGGGGCTGAGCGTCTCCTTTTGGAGAAGAACTTTTCACCTCTGAAAATCAGAAATGCAGAATGTCCCAGCTGTTGTGGACATCACTTGGAGCTGGAGATGATCAGGCTTTGAATTTCCCAACTTGTATGTTGTGCCTCTGGCATGTTGTGCTTGAAACTTGCTTGTCCTCATCTGACAGCTCTTACTCGACTGTCCTCTGACAAACATACCCCAAATGTGCTCTCTTTGCAAGGTAGTGGTGGTTTCTCCTCGAGTCCTAAACAGCTCACTAGTCTCGGGTGCAGTGGCTCAGCACACTGAGGTAAGCTGCCCTTATAAACATTTATAAGGCACCTGTGAGAATCCTGCTTGTCTTTCTGATTTCACTTTCAAACATACATAGTGGTCTGAAAAGAATTGTGGTTTGCAGCGAGACTGAAAAAACCAAAGCGCCTCTCCTATGTACCTGAAGAGTAAGGTGGCTGTTCAAGAAACAGACTGTAACCAAAACCTAGTGAGGGAAGGAAGATTTGCTGCTTTGTAGTCTGTGCCTTGGACTTGTTGTTTGTTAGTTTGGGTAGCAGGAAGCTGGCAAAGCTTGTAAGCGAACGTGAGCTCAGGTGCAGCAATCACAGTGGAATTCTCACCAGGCTCTCAGGTCCTGCCCACCTCCCCACAATCCTGCTGCTCTGAGCAGCACTGGGGCCACTTGAAAACAGGTCCAGCAACTTTTTTTTTTGTTTTTTTTAAATCACACTTATATTACTGTGTGCTTATGAAAGGTACACGATGTGAGAGCAAAATCTTAAAACTGTCAACGACTTTTTGAGGACACGCTAGAAACCATGCTGTTATATTTCTGGAGGTCTCCATCTCCTTGAGTTTTTAACTCCCAGTGGTGGTTCCCTGGATAGTTTTGTTTTCAACAGATTTTTAGTCATTAAAGAACGTGGATTTTCTTTGGGATATTTTTATAGAGTAGATGGACAGCAATGCCACAACATGCAGAAATTGCACATTTTGCTTGAGTTGCTTTTAACAATACACTATTTTATTTGCAAAACTTAATTTATGCCAAAAATGTAATGTCATTTTGCCACTGAATAGGGTGTTTCAGCACAAGATGCTATGTCTAAAGGGGAAAAAGGCTTTACACCTCGTAAATCTAATTGAAAAATTGTTTTAATACTGGGCTGTCAGCATCCCTAAAACTGCATTACAAGTTATAATTTAAATTAATCTTTCTGATCTGAGGGAAGGGATCAAGAAAAATCTCAATACTTATTCTCACTGTCCTGTGTGGTCTTTTTTTGTTTAGTAATACGCTGCTACATATTTGGAGGTTCTAGTGTTTGTAGGTCACTGAACAGACATTGAAATCTGATTTATATTGTATACCTGTAACATAGAAAGAAAAAGTATTTATATATTTTACGTAAGAATATTGCATTGAGCTGTGTATAATTTAAACAGAGGCTTGTCCCAAAATGGTATTGCCCACCTTGATTTTTTTTGTGTTTTTCTTTTTTCTTTTGCTTTTTTTTTTTTGTATACTGTGTACAGTTCATGTCAATGAGCATTAAAGGCCTCCTAAAGCGTAGTCTTCTCAAAGGGATGCGTTAATAAAATGTACTTAAACTTCTTATAGTTGTTCTGGTCTCCTATGTACCTCTCAGCATTAGAAAGGGGTTGGAATTTAATTTATATTTGTAATTACTAGCTAACTAGAACAATCAGAAGCTTCCAAAATATTTTTTTTTGGCAAAAATATATTTTACATAAATGCTTTATAAGACACAGAGACTCTTTTATAGTCCACACATCTTTTTTTTTTTTTTTTAATTTAACATACTGAGAATGATTTTCTACAATGTGATGGTTTAAGTATTAGCATTTCAACAACAGCTTTTTTTTTTTTTTTTTTTTAATTTAACATACTGAGAATGATTTTCTACAATGTGATGGTTTAAGTATTAGCATTTCAACAACAGCTGTGAAAGTTGCATTATGAACAAAAAAAAAAGGATTACAGTTTTGAATTCATTTAACCATTAATGTAAGACAGATGTTTTAATATATAAAAATTATACACACTTCTCCACATATGCCAAAATCCTTCTCTAATCTTCAGTTCTGGTGCCCAGAGTGTGCCCTTTGACTGGCACAGAAGCATTATCCTTCCTGGAACCCTCCATTTGTGTCTTTTTATGCACAGGAGGTTTCATAAAGCACCACCCATCGGAGCCAGGAATCAGGAGGGTTTATAGGGAAAGAGGAGCCAGCTTCTCGTTCCCTCACTCAGAAATCTGGAATGTGGTCAAGTGTGTCACTGCACACAGAAAATGGAATTTCATCAGAACAGAATGACCAGGAGACTGAGAGGTGGGAACTCGGTCAGGCCCAGGTGTCTGATCCCACCATCAGGAAAGCACAACTTTGTGGCTGAACCCACAAACACCTTGATCACTTCCTGGGAGGAATTGCTGCAGCCAGGCCTCAGTGACAGCAGCTTTTTCAAAGCAGGAACTTGTGCCTGGTTGCAGCTGTCCCCTTGGCACGAGGAGCTGCAGCAATGTCAAAATTTAAAATGCTTTTTTGTACAATACTCTGATTTCTTTGACAGACCTCTATCTTCCTCTGAATTCCTTAGTACATAGCTCTTGATTTAGGATACCGTTTCAACATTTTAGAATAAATACACCTTTTTTCTGAAATGCAGAGCTCAGAAGTTTTGTATTGGTTGTGACAAAGCAGCTCCCTTATGTTTACTGGCGTTTTTTCCAGCAGTAAAGCTTTTAAGCTACACAAATACATATAACGTGATGAAGCACTCTGGAGAAGCAAATGTTCCAAGCTGTAAAGATATTGTGGTATCAAGCTTTCACATGCATTGTTACTCGAAGAAGAGGTTAAGATAAAGGGAGGAAGTTTCCCTGGGATGTATCTGTCAAATAGGTTCAGCCTTGTCCTTTACCCTCCCTGTTCCCTTGTCCTTCAGCAGAAGGTGACCCACTGTGTTTCCTTACTCGGCTGGCTGGAGGCTGAAAGGAAGGACCATGTGCAAACTCTGCTTCTCAAGTCTGTGAGCCACCTGCACCTGTGCACAGCACACAGACGGACATGACATGGTGTGACTGAACACCTGAATCACGTCTGCCCATCTCTGTGTCTGTATCTTTGTTCCTCCCCTTTTCCTCGCTGAAGACTTCTCCCTCTGTTTGCAGTCAGTGCTTGTCTCGGCCCACAGGCTGTGCAAGGCCTTACTGGTTTTCCTGTTGCAACACAGCTTGTGACATTACAACAGTATCTGTAAGCAACAGAATACAACTAGATGTGGTTTAGTATCAGAACTCACTTTGTCTGCAGCTGCTTGATTTCTAGGAGTGTGATTAGCTAGTGAAACACAGGGAAGGCAAGTAACTGCATTTTCGCAAACTAGCTGAACATAAAATTGTCAGATACACTTTCTCTGTTTCACCTTTGAGAATCACTTATGCTGTGCTCTTAAGTTGAAACCATCTCTTTGCGACGGATTCCAAACAGCATAAGGAGGCAAAACCAAAGGATTCCTTGTGCACTGAGGCAAATTTGATGAGACTTTCAGCTACAATTACAACTGTACTGCTTCATTACAACTGTACGATTTCAAAATGAAAGGCCAAATTCACTGTTGCCTACTGTAGGGATTCTGAGAGTTACAATAAATATTTCTTTAGTTTTGTTTTTTTAACACATACAAAACTAGTGTTGAGAGATCTAGATGTATGCAGCCTGAATATGATCTTCACAAATGGGATTCATATACCTGTGGTTATGACCAGTCTGTCTGGTTGATTGGTTGGTTATTTGGTTGGTTAGCAGGTTGGGGCTTGCTATAGAAGTACAGGGGTCAATGCCAAAAGTTCAGTTCATGTGCACAGGCAGAGAGACCAAGCCATGTGGTACCACCTCTGGAAAATTAACTCCACCTAACTCCCTACGTCTCTTCAATGTATAGTTCAGATGATTTTAAAGGGTCTTTAGGCAGAGAAGGCATAAGTGTGAGGAGGCCCAGTTAGAAGAAATGGAAACAGGGTCTTACCTATAAAAAAAACTGTTTTCTATGCTCTTTAACACATCAAGTGTAGTTGGGACACAGGTAAAGTAAAAGAATGATGATCACTGCATTTGGGTGCTCTGGGCAGCACTCCTGGGGAAGTCAAAAGTTCCTTAGAATCTTCTAGGAATGAGCTGCACTGTGTGCAGGTGTGCATCATCCTTCTATGATGATTCCTTACATTGTTTGAGAGAGAAAAAATAAGCCAGCCCCAAAATGACTGGGCTGGGTAATGCTCCATGAGCAGTAGCACAGTACCCATTGGCTGGGGTGGCCAGAGTACACAGAACACTGCAAGAGAAATACACTCCTTGAGCAGCACAACCTTCCCCCTTGTTTCATTTGCTCCTCTACTTTATGAACAGTTTTAATCTCTGCAAAAAAAAGGAGTTCTCTGCATCAGCCTGTGACAGATTGCTGTGATGTATTCTGCATAATACAGGCCACATACCAGCCCTTAAATGTCACCTAATGCCTGTTAGTTGTAGTGGAACTGTAACACACATAATTCCTGTGTAAATCAGTACTCAAAACAACAGCTTTGCCATATTAATGGAAGTCAGGCAGCTGGGCTTGTGAGAACTCTAATCAAAAGAAGCTGTGGTTTTAGAAATTCTCATTTATAGTGTGTAGGCAAACACTGGATGGACCCACTGGAGGACAGAACATCAAAGCCTCTCACCCAGGCAGTGTACGTCTGTTTGTGAGATGTATCTCAGACTGTTCTTTCTCTCAGCTATTTCTCTGGTAGTTGAGGCTGCATCCTCATGAAAAATATCTAAATAGCATTGTGGCTGGTACAGCATCACTGCCTGATTTGTCCTGCCTGCTTCCAGTGTCTCTGGTATATGGTAGGGATCAGATTCAGCTTCAAGTGGAGAAGAATAAGCAAAATTCTCAAAACAAGTATGAGTCTGATGTGTAGGTGTGGGTGGAAAGTCTCTCACTACATTTTCACTAGGGTAAATCCAGGAAGAACTGTGACCATCAATCTTATCTTCAGTTGATGTTGATGATAACGAGCTCCAGGTAACGGGACGCAATTTCTGAACTTCAGCATCACTGTCCGTGGCTAGCACATCAGGAAGACAGTCATTGATCTTCATCACTTTCTCAGAATCAATCTGCAAGAGGATCATTAAGCAAAAAAATTACTCAATGAAAGAAGCCCAGAGTAGGAAAGGAGAGTGATTACTTTAAGGAATTCTAATATTCCTCAGGTTTTTTTAGTTTACACTTTTCAAATAAATGAATTTGAAGGAAAAGCTCTGTAGAGGATGTTCAATGGAAGCTCTATGTTATGTGAAATTTATCAGACTATTTATTTAGAGATTTCTGTTTTAAGTGAATTCACAATGATGATATTTGAGGAAGGAACCACTTCCCTCTACTCTAAAGACTTTGCCAGGTTTTTTTATGCATTCTGGTTTTAGTTTGAGGCAGAAGCAACTGGAAGACAGCAGCAGTGGCTGTTAGGTGTACTTCACTCCTCGCTCTCGTGCTGCTATTCAGTGAACACCTCCACAGGTGTCAGGGCAAAGGCTTTGGAGCCCCCTGCACGAAGCACAGAAGCAGCAGCTCCCAGTTCAAAGGGGCCACAGAAGAAGCTGAAGGCCTTTTGCCAATCCTGTTCTCCCAGCCAGGCCTGGCAGTTCCTGGCAGAACCCCCTGCATCCTCCCAAGGCCAGCAAGTGCACAGCCCTGCAGTGTCCTCCCGAGGGAATTGGGGCAGACACAGCTCACGGGCTGCAGGGAAGTTCAGTATCCTCTGGACTATTGAGTTCAGGCAGTGCAGGGGTTTGAACAGCAACAGTGGAGGAATCACCAGCTGATCAAAAGATTTCCTTTATTCTCCAGTTGTGCATTTTCTTTTTGCAGCAACAAACTGCAATATAAGCTGGTTATTGTAGAGTCATATGAATGTCAAAAGAAGAGTTTTCCACTAAATGATAATATTAAACTGTGTTAATTTGTGTATAATGATTAAATGCAGTCAACACAAAACCTGACAAGAAGTAAATTTTAAAATTAAGTCAACACAAGAATAGTTTTTCTTTTTTAGATCTACTAAGCAAAGAATGGACAAATTAAAAACTCTAGATTTTCAGTGATCTTACCTTAAACTCTTTGAATGACAGCACTTTGCTCTTGTTAGGACTAGGTATTGCAGGACAGCAGCACTCTTTCACCCTGGAAATAAAGAGACCAAAACAAATGACATTTTTGCTCTCTTATCAAAGCACGCTCTACCAGCAGAAGCCACCCACAGATCTGTCAAGGCACAGCAGCAGATGACCAGTGTCTCAGAAAAAGCCAACTACTTAAAACATCCACACAGTCAGACAGCCAAAGGAAGAAATGAATGAGGCCTTGCAGTGGGCTGGAAGCAACAAGCTGCAGCAGTGGTTTGTGAATTAGATTAGTTATATTCTCTGTGTACAACAGAAATATGCATTACAACTTACCACTTCATCTTCCAGTGACATATAGCTGCTACTACGGTTGGGACTATCACTACCAGGAATACAAAGTACAGGATGTTTGCTGAGGAAGAAAAATACTTTTTAAAAAGGGGGCTTTTATTAACTTCTCACATATTAAAGTCAATATAGCTTTAGTTTCTGGGGCAAAAAATAACATCAAGTTTGTGTGGGATGCCTGCCACTAACTCAGCAGTCTGTGGCCCATGGTTGCAAAGTACCTTGGCTGGACGTTCTGGGAAACCTCTGTAAGCCTTTAGACCTTGATTCCCTTTACCAGAATGGAATTATAACTAGATTGCTTTTTATTTTCTCTCCTATTGGCACCTTAGCTGTAAGACTAATTTACAAAATTTAAGGCCATGATAACCTAACTTAAATATTATTTCAGGTTTTCTCTCAGACCCACAGAGGAGATAGATTCCATTTTGGACTGACTATAGCAAGAAAAACACTACACAACTGTTCAGTCTCCTAGGATTTATGCTGATACAGTATTCCCTTCTAGCTGGAAGACAGCCCTGGGTTATGCTGTTCACAAACAGCTGAGGCTGTAGGTGGGCTGAGCGGAGCACTGGTTAGTGCCTGCTCTCCCTCTGCCTTGTCCAGTGCCTTCCTGCCCTGTGCCAGAGAGTTTGTGTATCACATACCACAGGAGGGAATGGACATGTTACATTCTCCTTGTATCTCTTTAGGGTTAATTAAGCCCTTGTTTTTATTCTCTGCTTGGCTGTACAAAGGTCTGGCTGGCTGATGGGCGCTAGAAATTAGAAGCAGAAGCATGCCTGTGAGGGTGCCATGACACGGTAGTAGTTAGGCTCAAACATGGAGTATCCTTGCATAAGCCAATGCTTCCTTCCCTCTTTCCCATCCCTTCCCCTTCATCTCCAACAAGTCTTTCAAAACCAGGCATCTCTAGTTTGGATCGTAAGTTTCACAACCATGCTGACTGGTATTTTCAAGGGACAAAGTTATGGGCAAGTAATTTCCTCTTCTGCTTTGTGATCAAATCTGCCCCGTTAGCAAACTACTGTGGCCTTGCCAACAACCCTTCTGTATTGGCTTGTGAAGGAGTGAACTTGGCAATAGTTTTAAAGACTGATGAGAGTAAGAATCAACATTAGAAGTTCAAGACTCCATACAGGAATTGCCTGTTTGCACACAAGTCTGTACGTTTTCCTATATTAGAAAACCAGTTAAGTCCAAACACAATTCTTGAATGAGTTCTGACAAACAGACTTGCTGGCATTTAAATGTGCACATACTCAGCTAACACCCAGAAGGGTGTAAGACTTAAAAAAGGATGTGAATTAGGCTCATTCTAAAATATAGAAAAAATCCTGTCGACTTAGAAGCATCAAAATGCCATGTTGGTATGCTTGTATCATTTCTCAGTTGGATTCTTTCTTAAGTGAATGTTGCATTGAATTTTTTGAATTTGAATGTTTTCCCTTAACAAAGGAAGATTGTTATAACATTTTAAATCATCCCATCCTTCTGCTAGAGGACATTATTCACAGCCAGTACTCACAGTTATATGGTGTATCTATGTATCTAAAGTCAGTAATGGGAGTCTCTCCTCCACCTGTAAATGCTTTAACCACTACTTTGTATTTTGTGTTTGGCATCAGGTGTTTCACGGTGTATCTCTTTTCTTCTGGGTTTTCAATTGTGTATTTACACAGCTCTGATTCATCTAAAACAAAATAGATAAGATAGAATCATGGGATCACAGAATTCTCTGGGTTAGATGGGACCCCAAGGATCACGTAGTTCCATCTCCCCTGCCGTGGACAGGGACACCTTCCACTTGACCAGGTTACCCAGCCCCATCCAGCCTGGCCTTGAACACTGACAGACACGGGACATCCACAGCTTCTCTGGGCAACCTGTGCCAGGGCCTCACCACCCTCACAGTAAATCTTCTCCTAATAGCTAATCTAAACTTACAATCTTCCAGTTTAAAACCATTACCACATGTCCTATCAGTGCAGGCCCTGGTAAAAAGTCTTTCTCCATCTTTTTTTAAAAAGCCCCCTGTTAGGTATTGAAAGGTTGCAATAAGTTGCCCCCAAAATATTACAAAACCAGTTAACTGAAATAACAAAACATTTGCAATCCGCCTTGTTTGTAATTTGCTCACTTTCTTCCAGGAAGGATGATGCATCCTGACTCACTGCCACTGGGCTGAACTCACATCCCTTCTAACTGGACTGGCCACAGCGATGTCCTCCTCTGGCAGACACCTAACAACTTGTTGTCAAAGACTGAATCTTGTTTATTTTAATTTCTTCTTCCTTGAGCATTGTGCCAGAATGATTTGAGTTTTGCCTTTTTTTTTTTACCAGAATCCTGTAGCCCTTAAGCTCATGTCAATTTCTTTGAAGATAATCAAAAGCAAGAAATCTCTGCCTTTTGCTCAGCTCTTTTGCCTCTCTATTGTGCAATTCCCAAACCTCTGGGAGAAATGGGTTATTTCTTCTGTTTTCAGTCACGCCCCTTGTCTGCTAGTAGAAGCAGTGAAGCACAAAATCTTTTATTTAAACTTTTTAAAGTTTAACTGAGATTACTTACAGAATTAGAGTACTTATATGGTTAGTTCAGTTCTGACAAGAACTTCTACATAAGCCTCCCTCAGTTCGAATTATGCTTTTCATCCTGGCAGTAATCTAATCAGCAGAAGAACATAGGACATGACCCAAGCAGAAGAGGCAAGGAAAAAAAATGTATTCTTTTAACGTGTTGGAAACATCTGAAAATTATAATGGAGCAAAGTCATCTGGAGCAGTTTTGCATGAGGAACAGAAAGGTCTGATATATAGTTGTGGCATTGTGCCACTTCATAGCTCAGTTCTGCTGAAGGAATCTATTGTAGAACACCCACACAAATACTTTCACTAAAAAAGAATTTACTTGGGGAATTTATACAGTGCTCCAATTTTGAAGGAAATAAATTGTATCCCATCTGCTTCTAAAATACCCTAAATCCTAGTAAGACTAACACACTTCTTACAACTTTTATCCAAGTAGACCACAAACAGATGTTTTTCAACATTCATCCAGAACTCACATCACAAGAGGCAGAACTCCTCCTATAGTACCAAAGGAGTGTTTTCTGGAGCTAAAAAGGAGTCATGGACAACAAGATGTGGGCTGTAAATCACTATAAAGCCAGGAATCACTTCTGCCTTCCAGCACCTCAAGCACTGAGAGGAACCAAAAGCAACAGGTGTTGATATCTATCGACAGCTGAATGAGCCAGCCAGACTGCCCAGTGTGAACCTTCTAAGATGCTGCAATACCAGCAAGTCTTCCACTTGTATCAACGACAAAACTTTCTGTAGTAGAGAGCTCAGTTACCTGAAAGAATGTGCTTTTTTGATCCTTTCAAATTGCAGTTCCCTTGTACAGGTGACACATAAACATGGAAGCCTCTTACAAAACCAGGCTCTGACTCATTTGTGAGATAAGAATCCCAGGACAGTGTTACTGAATTGTAAGTCAGGTCAACTTTTCTCACAATAGGGTCAAGACGAGGAGCTGTAAGAAAGGTGAAATTCAAGTTAAACTTGCAATTATTCATGAGTGTTTTCTCTTATCATTTGAAAAATCCACATTCTCATATGGTGCTTATATCTCTCTTGTATTTAAAAGCTGAATAAAGCCAAAGTCCTCCACAAAATCTGTCAGCTTCACAAAGCCTTCATGCATCCACATAACACACAAAGTAATAACTGATAATCATAGCTTTGTTTAGCTCTCCTAATAAACATGGGCTCTACCTGGTCACTGTACTAGCCAGATATCCTTTATGTAGGGCCTGTATGTTCATACAGAATGTTTAAATGCCTCACTGAAGATACAGAAAGAACACAAAAAATCCAGTTTTATCTAGCTGTAGGAGGAGGCAATATTCTATTTGTGACAGATCAATTTAGCAAATGCACAAGCCCCAAATACGTTTCCAACTTACGCAGCTCCCTGAGATAACCAATCTTCTTTTCCAGTAAGGAGGCTCTATTAGCAACAGATCCATAGATGCAGAATTTGTATCTCACCCCCGGAACAAAAGCAACTAGAAAATAGTTGAACAAAAATGGGTTATGGTTTGTCTTTCAGTGTTACCTTTATTTAATTGCTTCCTACAGAGGTCAATAACCTATTAGACACCTTCTCTGAGTGTTACTGTGATATTAAAGTAACTGAAGGTGACAGAGGGTAAGCTAATTCTTGGTGTGCATTATGTGAATTAAACACATTTATTCTGTCTGAAAGAGAGAATTGGGAGACATATATATATTGCCATACAGTGTTCAAGGTGACTGAACAATAAACTCCAAAGGCACCAAATTAAAAGACAATTTCGTTTATATTTCTGGCACAGGCAAAGATTGTGTTTTGGAATATTTGATGCAGACACATATCCAGGTATCAGGATTCCTTGTTATTCTGACACCTCACTGACATCCACTCCCATTCACATTAGCAAGTGCAAACCACTGAAGAATTTGACAATACCTTCCCATATGTTACCACAGTATCCTTTATTATGTGTAGGTTTCAGTACGTTTGTATGAATTGAGGTGATGTTCCTTTATTGCAAATTTATCTGTGTTCAACCAAATTTTGCTCAAACAAGTTTCATTCTAAAGTGAGCTCTCAGCTTCAGAGACTCTAGGAAAGCTAAATTCTTGCAGCTGTGGAAGCATATCACAGCAACTTTCACACAGACAGAAAGGACTTAGGTCTACTGGCCACAACTGGGATTAAAAAAACATGCAACTGATCCTAAGCAAGGACTGGTGCTGAGACACATCATTTCTGGCACACTGACACCACCAAACCTCTTACTACACCGTGGGTTTAAATTACCTGAGTCTAAACTTCTGATCTATGTTACAAATAGGACAGAGCTCCCTTCTGCATCTCTCTTGCTAAATTATTTTAACTCCTTCATTAACCTCACCATGCTCCTTCAAGATGCTGCTATTAGCCAGTCAGAAGAGGTATTGTCTAAAATACTGTGTTGACTTGTCTAATACAGTATACTGCCTTCCAAAGCTTAAGGGTGCTGGTACATTTGTGGTGTCCAATTAATTTGGTAGGAAATACATGATGTCACATGCCTTTGAAGAATTACACCTGCATAGCACAGAATTCAATATTCAACATATTCAAAAAATTATTTGTTTTCTAAATTCAATTAATGCCCATAGCTTGAAGAACTGCTGCAGTCAGAAAGAATATTTGTTTGGCTTTCACCTGAGCTGATCACAGCACTGGAAGTGTTGGGTGCAAATCTCTTCCACTGCAAATCACAAGGCTGCAACCTGGGAAAGTTACACCAATCAATAATGTAACTGTCATATATACTTCTGGGCTCCCAGGAGATAAAAATGCCATCATCTGTACCATTAACCTGTCCTTCCTTAAGCTCTTCAGTGCCTAGGAATGAACAAAACAGAATCTCTTATTATTGTCCTGCATGACACTTCAGACTCATAAATAAAGATCAATACAGTTCCTATACTAACCAGTTGAAAACAACAATAAAAGAGTTGCATTCCTTTTCTAAATGACATATGGAGTCTTTCACATGCTGAAAGCTGACAGCTGAGAAACCATCCAGCAATTGTTACTACATATTCAGCAAAAAAATATCAGCTGCAGAAACCTAGAGGCAGACAGTCACAAGAAACTAATCAAGGTGGCACTGGCTGCACCATCAAGGCACCTACTGCAGGTCTGAGGCCCTAGTTTTAGGCAAAATGTATTTTGCTCTGTGGAGACACTCTGCGCTTAAGTTTAATAAACATACAGCTGCCACCCTGTAGGAGAAAATACAGTTGCGATTTCCAGACAGCAGTGGTGTGAGTGAAGAGGTAAGGTTAATTTGTTGCCCTTGATGATAAATTATGAAAATTCACTCAAAATAGGTAGAAATAAAACTACAATTATGTAATTATAACTGAAAATACTCCTACTGTTATTTGTAGCTCTAGAGATGATCAATACTGAAGGAAGTGAAAAATTAGCATTGTTCTTTGCCATGATACTGATTCTGTAGGAATGGTTATCAATGAAAATCCTTGTGCTATTGTAGACTGAAGAAAAGGAGATGCTTTCAGGCTTGGAGCCATCTTCTATTTTTTTCCAGGTTACTTCATATGAAATAATTTTTCCATTTGCTTGAAAACTTGGTGTTTGCTGAGAAAAAAGTTATAGAGGAAGAGAACAATAACTTATTAAATTTTGCTCAAAAAATATGAGAGGATAATTTAGAATTTTAAATAACTAACAGGATGTGTTATTTTTGTAAGAATATATACACTTGTTTCCATACATTCATACATATACTGGTTGAAATGGAAATGAAGAAATCTTGGTAATGGGATCTGCCTTGTACTAATACTTAGAAAAATAGAATTGTATGTCTGAAATTCCAGGACAGCATACCATCATAGCTATATGTGTTCTGCAATATTTTATATACAATCTGTTTGAGATTTGTAAAAAACATTTTCATATTGAATTGCTATCAGCTGCAGAAAAATCATGGGATAAATTTCCATCTGCTTGATGAAGGACTTTGTTTCTGTTTCTGTAGAGATATCTCACCTTCCAGAACAAGGTCACAGTTCGTCCCCCCAGAGCTGGTGTGATTTCTCTCCATATGTCCAGTTTCCCTGATGGAGCTGCAATAAATATAGCAAAAGAAGAAAATGAGAATTCTCTGGGTGTGGAAAGAATAGGCAGTTGAATTGCTTCCTCCCATTTGAAGAAATTCCACTCACAACACCTCGTTTTTCCCATCACTCCCAGGTCTTGCCAAAACATTATCATTTAATATAATTTTCCCTTTATTTCTTTTTCTGAATTAGAGTCAGAAAAATTTCCCTAGAAAATCTTTGCTTGCAGTCAGCAGAGTCTTGTTTCACCTCTGCACCATTCCTCCAGGCCTCAAAGGGCACTGTTACTCAGTCTGTCCATCTTCCCATCAACTGGATTTCCCGCTGTCTGCACTGGAGGGAATGTCTGAGACTAGAAGTAATCTTGAAGTTTGCTTAGCATGTTTCTTCTATGCATACAACAGGCCTCTGCTTTAGCTACACAGTGGAAGAGTAACAACAAACAGCAAGGAGAGGTGGTGAGCACGGAAAACCCCTCAGACTTGGCTTCTCAGTGTGTTGGACGTACTTCCTTCCTTAGTTCTGGCGATCAGGGGCTGGCTCCACTCACTCCACCTCCAGAAGTGCTTGGCCGCCCCGCAGCGCACCCTGGCTCTGTACTCCGTGTAGGGCTGCAGCCCGCGCACCGTGACGCGCCGGGAGTCCGCCACGGAGCTGTTGTGCTGAAAAACACAAGGACACAACAAGCACAGCTCAGAACAGCGCCTCGGCAAGTTGCTCTTCTCTGAAAAAACAGCTCTTCCTCTAGACCCTGCGAGGGACCAGTTACGCTTCACTTGGGGAAAACAGTCATGGAACAACAGTCAAAAAAAAAAAAAAGATAGATCAAAAGAGTGGGAGATTCAAAAAAAGAGCTGGAAGCCACTTCTGTGTAACTGTCTGAGTCACTCAGAACCCTTCACATGAGTACTTTTTACATCCAGGAGGGAATTTATTGAGATCTTTCCTCATAGTCTTGGGCTATTACCTCATATAAAAGCAGCATGCTGTTCCATGTCTATGCAGAGCAATCTACAGCTACCTTTTCTTTCCATTTTTTTTTTCTCCCAGCCTGTACCCCACTCTCTCCTAAGAGATAGAGTGCAAGTAAGAGTATTCTGGCAAGAGTGAAAAATGCCAGCATGCTTTTAAGCCTCTCTTCAAAACTGACTCCTACAATGGCAACTGCAGTGGTCACTTGATCTGACAGCTCTTAAGCTACAATCACGACTGAATGCAGCTTAACTGTTATCTTCACTGTGCATTTTTAATGCACTAGAGGAAAGCTGCCTTCTAAGAAAAAAGCTACAGAGAAGCGACAGTAAACGGGCAAAGACTCATTCCACCTCATCGTTTGTGGAAGAGATGGAACAAGATAAGGAAACTACTCAAATGGACTGTATAATCAGCCTAGAGCTTGGGAAGAAAACAAATCCAGAAAACAGACACACCAACATGCTCACAAGATTTACAGTGTATTTGTAAGATCCTCATTATGTTTTTGTTTAGGAAATTCAGGTTTCATACCAGTTCTACTTTGCCATCAGGTTGGAGCACTTCAGTCTGACAAAAGAGTTCAATTCCATTGTTTTCATAATTCCAATGTAATGTAATTTCTGTGTCTGTGCAATCTTCCCAAACCTGAAAAGGTGCAGTGGGATACACTGCCAACGGAAAATCTGAGTTAGTTTTTATAAAACATAACATATATGCAATAGTATATTAAGATATTTTAGCTGAGTAGTAAAATCAAATAAAAAATATTTTTCTCCTAATCTAGAAGAAACATATATAAATTATAAAACATAATTTCAGAATGTAAATGTAAGTAAATGTTATACAAGGTTTAAAAAAACCTCTTGTGCTGTCTTAGAAATGTTTTAAAACATCGTGGACAAAAGGAAGAGACATTTATTGCAAGCCATTAAAATTCTCTAATTCAGGCCTGGCAGAAGCTCCTGATGTAGCATGGTAACATTTGATGCATTCCTACATCCCAGAATTGGGTCTCTTCAACAGAAATTTTATTCACAACTCTAACACTGACTCCTGGCAGTAGTTACCCTCCAGTAAACAGTGTCAATGCTACTTCTTCCAAAAAATTTCTGAGATCCTTTACTGCTATGTAAGAGTATTCAGCAAGTTAAGGAAATCTCAAACTCCCCCATATTATCAGTATAATAGTGAGGAATGTAATGCAATGTAAGGGAATGGCAATGTAAGCGAGGGGTATGCTTACACCCTTGGCCATTTATCCTAAAACTTCATTAACTACATGATTGAATTACACTACTCCATGAATTACAATTTGAGGACTTTCATATTCAAAAGAGTTTGTTTTTGATATAGAAGGTCCAAACTAACACATGCAGAATCGGAAACAATGCATGTATATTTTCCTTTACTTACTGTTATCCTTTAAGTAAGGAAAATTCTAATGTAAATATTTGCAGGATCAGAGAAAATATGATGGATTTCACAGGAATCACCATGTTAAAGCTTAACTCATCGCACATATTATACATAATTTCATTAACTGGCAACTATCACTAGGACTGGAAAAAGAATTTGAAGTAAAATTTTAATTTACCGATCACATTGAACGTAAACTATTCTAGCCCGACTTCCCATGAAAACTGAGTTTATGATGACATTGTGTTGTCTCCCTACAACCTGTCAGTTTACTACTCCACTTTCTTGATCTGTTTCTTCCACTTCCAAATAATCAGACAATCACATTTTAGAATTCTCATGCCTCTCGGAGACAAATCTAACATAGACATTTAACATAAATTCCTTCACATAAAAAAGCATGGCTAGAAAAGCTGTGAGAAATGCCTCTGAGGAAGGAAGCAGTGCCAGGATGCAGCAGTTACACCAAGAGCCTCCTAGCCCACTGTCCTGTCAGCTTCCGAGCTGCACAAAGCACAAGTTGCCTCCTGCTTTTTCAAACAGGTAAGGCAGCCACAGGACCTGGGGAACACTGAAGAGGACTCAAAGAGAACTGGAAATACTGCTGAAGACTGAAGAAATACCCAGTTGTTTTCAGGCAGGAGTAGGAAGGAACTTATGAAAAGCCAGGCACACTGAGATAAAGGACAAAACTACTAGGGAACAAGGAACCACACCCATTAGATACTCCTCAGAGAACAACCTGACTTTTGTCACCAATGAACTACTCTTCATCCCTTACAGTAGCACAGTGGAGGTTACAGTCCCATAGTAGGGCCAAGAGCAGGTTAGCACCACCACTTCCTTCCCAGCAATAGCTCTTACATGTGTATCACATCTCATATCATATCATATCATATCAATTCCCAAGTAACCTACACAGATATTTTGTTTGAACTCTGCATTTTACATCCTTGCTTTCTCTTCCGTTAACCAGCTTCAGCAAAGCAGCAGATTTTGAAACATTAAGGGGTCATTCCAATAACTAAAGTTGACCTTTGGAGTAAAGCTGTTTTCTACTTTTAATACAACTTCTCAAAGATGAAACTGAAGAGAGAGCAAGTAACTACAGCACAGGGACAGATAAGTAACTAAACTGTGAAGATAAAAATTGAGGTCTTCCATACTTTAAACCATGATACAGAAGTATCAAGCTCAGAAGGAGCAACAAATGGCCCTAAACAAAGACACAGAAAAACCCCTTACTTCTGTGATTTACATCAAAAACATGTGTGGCAGTTTTCTTTCCCAGTGGGTTTTCCACAGTCACTGTGACATTCCAGATCCGCTGGTGGCCTATATCCCAGGAGCATGAGCACTGCTTAGAACAACTGGCTTTGCACAGAGCAATTTTCGGGGATGACCTATCAAAGAAAGGGAGAGGTAGGAGGTGGGGCAAAGAGAGAGAAAGATGTTTTCCATAATATACAATCAACATAGATCTTGGAAGTTTCTGATGTCCAACTAGAATACAGCTAAGGGGCCTTATATAAGAAGCCACCCACTTCTTTCCCTTAGCTTGAAGTATGATGAATACAAATACTCTTAAAATAAGTTTGCTTTGAAATCCAGGTTTGTCTTTTTAAGATACAGCTACACTGTTTTATAAATTTCCTTACGGATAGTCTAAACCAGAAATTTATTTGCCAAGACTCAAATAATTCACATGTTTACCATTAAGCTTTTAAATGAAGTTCTAATTTCAACTGCATCCTGAAGTGCATTTTCTAACCTTCCATTTTTAAATCACCATCACAGTATTTTAATAGAAGTGAGTGATGAAGAGACCAGGATGGTATGCACAATGCTGGCCTGTTTTCTGCTGAAATCTTTCAATGTCCTATTTTATGAGTTTCCCTTTCTCTGCAAGCCTTGCTGTAAAGCTCCTCTCCTCATCTAAGGGCCATTTCTGATATGCCACAGCTGTGTAGCTTTGACTCAGACTGCTAAGAAAGAGCTACAAGATTTATTTATTTTTTTAAAGAAGCCAGCTGAAACCACAGAAAATATAGACACAAGGACATTTGAGACAGGATTAATCAGGTACAGTGCTAAGTTTGAGTCAGTATTAGTGTCAATGGATCATGAGCACACTAATACTCAGCCTACAAGCTGGTCAGATTCTAGTTATCTGTTGTGTGTGCCACCCAATAATTATGTTCTATTTTAAAGTTATCTACATCCTGATTTCAGGATGTCTTCAGACCTACCGAACAATACCTAAACGTATTAACTCAAAAGAATGGTTAAAATAAGCTTTACCAGGCAGAACTTGATCTAAAGGACTGTCAACTTTGTTATAGCTAGTGTGATTCAGAGCAGTTCTGCACTGCTCAAGCTTTCTTAAATAAGTGATCAGTGAGGTGGGAAAAGGCAAGCAGCTAATTACACAGATTTTCACAGATTCTAAGGGAAAGAAAGAAATAAGGTGACTGGTACAGCACAGATGAGAGTTACTATGACAATGAGACTTACGTTTTAGATAAGGTGTATCGTGGTGAATTCCGTCCATAGAAATAGGTCTCTGCTTCTCTCCAAGTACATGTTACTCTTTTCATGTCTTGAGTATGGCAGGAAAAATCTTTAGGTGTATCAGGTGGTTCTTGTCAGACAAAATAACAAAAAAAAAACCAACACCATGCCAGTCAAGGCAAAACTCATCAACCTTTTTAATACATTAACAAGCTAGAAATAATGGGTAAGTATGAAGTCTGGTTTACTATAGATGTTATTACTGAAATTATACTTATTCAGTGACCACTCTGCAGAGATACTCAGGATAATACCATGAGTCAATAGCAATCAAACACTTCTGTACTCTATTATCTCTTTTTAATACTCATCCATTCATTTATTCATTCTGTATTCTTTTCTATCTTTAAAAATTCCCACTAGCATTTGAAAACTTCGAGACTGTTTACCACAGGCACACAGACAACTGAAACTCAACTCCTAAAAGGGTGGATATATTTATGAATCAACCACCTGTCATAAGATCAATTAATTTAATGCTATTCTTTCCTGATTTCTCTATATAAATTTACAGATTTCAAGTCTCAAGACAGAGTTCAGCCAGACATTACAAGACCATGGCAACTTACAACAAGCTTTCTTTCCCATCCGTTTTTTCTACAGTTATTCTTGAGTTAATAACAAGAGGAAAATAAAACTGTAACTACGTGTTCACTTACTACCCACAAAGAAAGCTGCTTGATGTAGCTGCCCATCTTCATCATAACAGTAGAAATGAATGTTAGACCCTTTGTCATGTGACAGATTTTCCACGGTGAGAAGTCTGACTTGACTGTTTGTGCGCTTCAAAACATCAACAGTTGGGTATACAGAGAATTCCTTAATGGTTTGACCTTTCCCTCCTATGCAGCAGAGAGTGATATCAGAGCCTTCTGCTAAAAATTTTTCTTTTGGAAAGATTTGTGGCCCACTTCTATTTGAATTGTCCAGGCCTGTAAATTTAAAAAAATAAATAAATTTCAAAATCTGCTCAAGGCAGCAGCCTTCAGCCAGAACACAAAACAAAGCATTTACTCAAGAATTTGCTAACACTATATTATCCATTAATAGACTTTTATTTTGTATTCTTCCTAATACAGAGGTGAATTTCACATGTAATATTACCTTTCTCTTAAACTCATAAACATGTAATATAGTCCACAAACTACCTAAATCTGTTTTACTGCCTTTCACTTAGAGACAATAAAAGTGTTCTGTACAGAATTGCCTTTGCAAAGAAATACCACCTCCAGCTCCTATGCACAGGCTGTTGCTTTTATCCAAAATGCCTGCTCTTGAAGACTTGGAGCAGAGGGCTACAAAAACATCATGGTCTTATGCTCATGCAGAGCTGAGCTAAGAGGAGTCAACACTGACTGACTCACATCAGTGAGATAATCAACTTGGAATGAGACTCCCATAGCTTTCTATGTTGGACTGCTTGCTGGACAGAAAGGTTAGTGGAATTTAAGTGACTAACAGTTTTTACACATATGCACAGGTAAAATCTACTCTCAAGGATCTGATCCAAAAACCTGATGATATTTAGAGTTACTATCCTTCAGAGAGCTCTAAATCAGGTCTGTAATGTGGGATCAGTTTGTGACCAAGCCTTAGTATTTTTGAGGCCCATTCACTTGCAACTGAAAAAAATAAAATCTCTAAGATTGAGTAGATTGTGTGACAAAAAGTAGAGCCTTGTATCCTACTGCCCATTATATAACAAGAGGGAAATGAGTGCCACAATCCAAGTATGAACACTTGTGATGCCTCTTCTATACACATGATGTCTCCAATATCTAAAAGCCCTTGCTGCTCTAAGCAAGTATTTCATTATAAAATCACTACAGTCATATTTTCTAAAGTAGTTATATATTTTGCTTAAACAGGATTCTCTGGAAACCAAACTGCTCTAATAAGACATTGTAATCCAAAAAAATACAAATTTTGTGATGTCATTAATTACATTATTGGTTCATTCTGTTTATTCTCATATAACTCACAAGACATTCATTCTAAGTGAAATAAGGAGCTGACTTGCTCCTTTCTCTCTGCTTCTGTAATACCAATTCAAGCTATGAATTCCAGACAAAAGCAACGCATTCATCAGATCATGCAGCCCCTAGCTATGTGCTTCCACTCCTTTCCCTGAGTCTGGACCAGGGATGTAGCTAACCAAGATCCCATGTCACTCCATCTACTACATTGTTTTAATGTGTCCCTAAAAAAAAGCTCTAAAATTTTTGGTCTACTAACTTAGGATCGTCTGGAAATTATAGCAATGGCTGAAGCGCTACTATTATTGCTGGCAAAATATAAGGAACTTGTTCGTGCTTAGAGCGATTCTTGATGTGATGCCATCTCTCCCGAACTCTCCATGGTTACATTCACTGATGAATTACAAACTAGCTTTATAATTGAAAAAAAAAACAACAATATTGCAAAGTCTTGTTTTGCTTACCAGGGACAGTCTCCCACAAACTCCAGTTACTCCAGATTTTCGATGCTTCTGCCTTGCTCCTGATTCTCACAGCATGTGACATACATTCCAAAGGTATGTCTGAATCCCATGTCCAATGAAGAGGCTTTCTCAGTTTATCAAGTGTGACATTATGAAACTCCTAGAAACAAAAAGCAGTAAGGGAAAGTATTGAAAACACAGCAACATGAAGATTTGGAAATACAATCAAAAGCAGTGAGAAAACTCAAAGGAAACAAATGCTTTTGAAAATGAATGTCTGAAACTCCACTAGCTACACATGACTTCACACTAAGTAACTAGTCAGCTAATCAACTGCTTACAGATCTGTGCTAAGAGTGGTGGAATGACTGATGTGCTGACATATTTGGGAGTGAGACTCTACTTCTCATGACATGGATTTGCTCCCAGAGACTTTCAGTAGGTTATTTGGGTCTGCTATTACTTAAGCTGCTGCTTACAAATGCATCCTAATGCTCTGGGTTACATATCACCGTGATGGAGACACCATCCCTAGAGTGATTTAAAGGATGTGTAGATTCAGCATTTAGAGATGTGGTTTAGTGTGGACTTGGTAGTGCTGGGTAACAGCTGGACTCAATGATCTTAAAGCATTTTTCCAACCTATGAGATTACATCATTCTACATATTTTAGTTCTTCTTACAGCAGCCATTCCAGATTCCCAGCGTTTACATCTGTGCTGCTCAAATTATTTGTACCAAAGCCCTGACTTACACTGACAGTTAGAGAACTTCTCTCCAGTACTGCTTTCTATTGGCAACACTTGCACTTTCACATTACCATTGTTCTGAGAAAACCTCTGCCATCTGTTCAAAATCTAATTTCTCAGTTATAACCCTGAGGAATGTGGCCACTGCTCTAGAAGTTATATAGGCTGTAGATGCTTTGGTTTGAGCAGACTCAGAGTTTCTTTATTGGTACACATACTCAGAAAAACACAGAAGCAAATATATTCCTGTATGGTAGTGACATCCAAAGTAACTTGTCATCTTTATTACAAATAACAGTACAGACTACATCCCCGGACTTGAAACACTTTTACTTCCTTCCAACAAGCTAATAAGAATTTGTTGAAAGACCCTTCAGAAAACCCAAAACTTAGTTGTTTGTAGCCATATAGCCCCAGTTACGGACTTCAGGATTAGACCTACTCATTGGGCTAAAAATCCTATCCAGCATATAAAGTGGTAAAAATCTGCAGAACTGCATAGAGCTTATTTGCAGTGAAGATGTGGTTCTTCAAACTCAGAGACAAAACACCACCAACTAGGGTGATCAACATAAGCTGTGATTTTTAACAATGCTTATCTTATTTGATTGATCACTGATTTCAGAAAAATAAGCCCTTGTCTGTTTTATGTACTTTCTGACAAATAGCAACACTAAATGAGCTAGTGCAGCTTTTAGTTTTACTAAGTTTTAAATTTTCTTTGGAGACTGTTCCTATACAAAGTCACAAACAGAAAAACACCCAGAACATGCCTAAGCCTATTATTCCTCTTCAGAAAATGTTGCTGGTTTAGAGCCTAAGGAAAACTATCAGGACAGGGACTTTGCCAAGAGACAACACTACATCTTCCATCATTGTAAATGACTAGTACACTTATCTTCTAAGCACGCTTACTGTCCACACAGTAGTAGCTTCATCAGTTCGACGGACTTGTATCTCAAAAGACATTGCCAGCTCAGCATCATGCGCAGATTTGACAACATCCCATTCCACCAGCAGCCGCTGAAGATCCAAATCCTTGGAAATGTTAAGGTACGTTACTGGAAACACAACAGATTCTAGGAGCACAAAAAAGGGCACAAAATTATTACTGTCTAGCTAAGTTACAAAGCAGGTCTGAAAAATTAGTGGTTAGAGGTAAGAGAGGTTGCACACCAGGTGGTTCTAAAGGAAAAAGAACAGAAGTCATCAGGACCTATGCTGATGATGATAAAAGGAAAGATAATTATTCTTCTTAAGGAATCAGCAGGCTAAAATGAAGTTCCTGAATCTACTTAATAGCTCCCCACCATAATATTTGGTATGCTATTGAATTTCATTATGCTCTCAATTTACTAGCTGTTTTATGGGAATACAGATCCATCCCTTCATAATCTTACGAAGAGGAACAACATAATGTACTAAGAGGGACTAAATCCCAAAAAATGCCAAACCCAGCAAGCCTTCATATCCTTAGGGCAGAAACTGGGCTCAGTTTTGATCTCTGACTTAATCCTGACTAAATGAGTTAATGCAAAACCATTATTTGAACAGAATAGGTTCCCCAGAACAGAAAGGGTTTCCCTCCTGTAGCTAGCTAAGACGATAGTCTAGTATTAAGCACATTCCTAGTTGCTCTACACAGAGCTTAGGTCATGGCTGTGGATCCTTCTACTGGAATTAGACATCTAGTTCTAATGGCACTTGCATCCTTTTCTTGGTCTGGATTTAATTCCAGACCATGACATGACAAAGTTTAAAAGTCAGACTTTTGGTGTTGAGATATAAAAGGCCCTGCAAGATTGTTCTGCTGAAAACTACAAATAACACTGTAAGTGGTTCCTCTTTTTAGATGAGACTTTCATGTCCCCTCCCTAAAAATCCAATTGCTGGAAGAAATGAAAATGCACTCACTGATTTGTCACTTCTCTACTTCCTGAAAACTAAGCAAACATAAACCCCCTAAATTTGATCTGGTTGTTAATGAAGCCAGGAAACTGAAATGCCGGAGTATTTCTTTTGCCACAGGTGCTTTCCCAGGTGCTTCTGCTTGTTACAAAAGTACAAGGTCAGAATGTTTATTCTAATAAAATAGAATTTTTTAATAAAATAGAACTCATTCTGTGCATTCCTGCCACGTTACAGCCAGAGTCATCAAGGACACAATGGACGGACCGACCTCAGCAGCCCCCTCTCACAAAACTGCCTGTCTCCCACATACACTTTGCCACTGAGCTACTTGAGACTTTTGCCATGTATCACTAGCAGAAATACAAGCATTCAGATGATTTAGACTGAGAATCTACATTTTGATTCTGGTAGCCACCACGTATCCAAATCATTCTGCACTTTATCCTGCAGTATCTGCATTACCCTAACCTCTGTGCAGCAATCTTCTAACACAGAGACTTTTACATTAGGAGAAGGGAATGAAAGGCTCAAGAGAACGAGCAGTTACAACAATCTCTGGTCAATCAAAGGAAGCAAATAAAACTTTATAAGCATATTGTTAATTATGAGAATACAGAGACTAACTCAATTTTGTTGTTTATATAAGTCCAGACTATAATTAAAGAATAAATGGAGGAAATAACATATTTTACCATTAGTACAAAGTTATTACAAACTGCTGGAAGAAAGGATTCTTTTTTATCAAATCACCCAAAAATTCTGTTGGGATATTTTTAACTGATTCCATTTTCAAGGGTACTAGAAGTCAGAGCAAAATGAAAACCATATGCTTTCCATCTAGGGGAAACTACTGGTATAGGCATCTTCAGATAAGCTTGAAGAAGAAATCTCGTTTCACTGTTCAAACACATGGTCTCAGAACCAGGACTGTGGTATCTCCAAGTGTTTTGGAGAAAGAAATATATGCAACACACCTTCTATAAAGTTTCACTGCAGTCTTAATTTATAATTACCAGGAAATTATTAATATGTAAATTATGTGAAAGCAGAATTGACACTCTTAGTGTCTCTTAGAAGTAAGTGCAAAATGATTCACATGCAGAAATAAAATTTCCTTTTTAGCTATGGTAATGACATGGCCCTTAAAAAGTGTATCTGCTGCTTCAGAGCTGCTGTTGAAGAATGATGGGCATCGATTTTATACTGCCCTAAGGAAGCCCAATATCTATGACAATTACTGTCTGAAACTGAATAAACAAGGTGGAAGGCTTGGGGGTAAATTTCACTGAATTATGACAGAATATCAATTTTATGTTTTACCAGAAAAAATAAACACTATTAGCTTCACTGCCAACAAATGCCTAGGCAAGGAACCAGAACAACCAAAACAACACACTGATTCATAAAATTAACCGTGGAAGTGGAGTATCACTTTATTTTGGGAAGATAGGACAAAACACACTTCATTTTTCCACATTTCACAGACTTTCATCATCAAAACAAGATAAACACTGTTAAAACCCCACTTATGCTGAAGAATTTATTACAATATTGATTGGCTTCACCCAAAGCACCATGTAGCAAATCTCTTGAGGGATCTCATTTCACATACACAAGCTTATCTAGAACTCTGGGCCTTGCCATTACCGTTTTTTTTCCTGCACTGCTGAAGCAACAGAGGAAGAGAGGAACTGGGAGAAGGAAAGGACCCTGCTAGTCTCTCAATGAAATTTAATGGCACAAAGTAAGAATCCAGGGAAAGGAAATAAATATATCGGAAAGAGAAGCCAGCCAGTTGGCAGAAACCCCTTTATTTTTCAGGGTGCACCATTAAAAGAAACGTCTGCATATCTCCTGAATTTCCCTATCCTCTTTCTGCTCATTTTCTAGCAAATTCTAATTGCAAGTGTCACTATTATCTCCTCTATGATGAGCCTGTATCTCCTCTCTGCATCTGATTCTTTTTGTCCAAACTAAAATATCATCCCTTTTCTCACCATAAAGAATACTTCCACCTGACACACTGAATTAGGTTGATAAAAAACCTGCAAAGGTCTTATTAGTTTCTGGTTTTTCGCCATGTGTAGAAGCATCCCTCCACTATCTCTCTTCAGCTAGACAACATATCACTTTGTACTCCACACTCTTTTGTTTTCCACAGAGTCGGGCATAAGACAGCCTAGATCATCAGTTGGAGCTTATACAAAGTACTAAAAAATAGAAGAAATAATACAGTTAAGGATATATCCAAAATTTTGATGACCACCAGTTACCATGTAGGCATTAAAGAATTTTGCAGCATAATTTTAACATGTGGAAGTATTTGCAGCATTCACAGTTACAATATTCTCTCCCAGCAAAATTAACTGATCAAGGCATCTTAAGACTTGTCTTAACTTGCAAGCTAACTCAAGACTATATGAATAGTTACAATTAACAACAGAGACTAATTTTGTTCCTGAAAAATTGCATGTGAAAACAAGTGACCAAGTTACTGTAATGAAGTAACTGTTTGGACTTGCCTGCATTACAAAGTTTTGCCATTCTAGGAGCACTAGTAATAAGACTCAAAACTGAGACTTGGGTGAGTGGTGTCTGAACACATGAATTTCAAGGTTGAAGAGAGACAAAATGTCTGAAAGAGATACATTACCCCTTCAGTATGATTATATTTTTAAAAACCCAAACATCTCTCTTCCTTCTTCATCAACTTAAAAAAAGCAAATAAAATTTCCATAATGCAGACTAGACCATGGTAAGGTCTGCTTCTTAGTGGTGGTCACAGAACAGTCAATTAAAAATCTCCTGTTTTCTTTTAATGGAGACATACCCAGCTACTGCTGGCAGCAAGTACACAAGTACTTTTTTAGTACTTGTATTTTTTACCATAAAATACACAGCCTTCCGAAAAGTAATAATTATATTCAACTTTCCCCCCTTCAAATATGCATATTTGCTTTTTTGTATTTGTATTGGATAAATATGGAAGGTGTAAAAAATAAAAATCTGTCCTGGAATCTTGTGGCACAATCAGAGAAGAGCCAACAGAAATGCTTATGTTTTCAGAGATGAGATTAAAAAAAGAAAGGAAGGAAGTAAAAAACCATAAAAGTTGTCAAAGAGAAAATAAATTCTTTGAAGGTGACAGTACAGATCATCAGAGAAAGAGAAGATGCAAATAAATAAATACACTTTGGCTTCACATTATTGCATGTTGTTGATTCAACAGGCAATTTCGCATAAAGGGTCACAAAAGGCAGTAATGAAAGTTGATCCATCACCTTACCAAAAAGAATCATTTGATTAAATGTGTGACATGTTGCTTAATCAGAGACTTAAAAATCAGCAAGTTGAAAGCTTCAACTGTAGATTGCTGTAGATTGCTTCCAAATAAAAAAAAATCAAACATTCAGACATTTACCTTGCTGTGAGTATGAAGTGTAGCACGTCCCCAGAGGGAGCAGTACTGCCAGAATCATGAAGTGATTCATCACTTGTCCACCTTTTCCTGCATAAGACTTAACAGCAAAGAAAACATTTTTATTTATTTGTTTCTTTTGGGAGCAATGCAACATGTCAAACAATAGTCCAGATAATATTACTATATTTAAGAATGAATAAATAAAAACCCAATAACACAGACTCCAGGAAGCTCAAGAGAAATTCAGGAAGAATGCACAAAGAAAGATAAGGAATGAAAAATGTAAACCTCTTGTCTTTAGGACTTAGTCACAGCAAAGTAGCACTATAGTCAAAAGTTCAATTGAGTCTAAACAAATAAATTACACAATATCTTTAATGTTTTTTATCCACTTATTTCAAATAAATATTGAAGCAGAAGTTTGTCCTAATATATTTTGGCTTTCTTCCTGCACAAGTAAGAAAATGTCCATCCTAACAAGAGGGAAAGAGTATTCAAGGTGCAAAATGCCTTGTGATTTCTGCTCCATCTGCAGCCTGACTGATGAATCTAGCAGACTCCTCTGTCAGCACCCGGGACTATGTGTGGAGGGCTTTAGTTAGTCTGGAGCTGAAACAGGCATATCAAGCCTCAGCAAGTTCCATTCCCTGTTGGACCGTCTTCTCAAGAACCAAAGAGCTCTATCTCGCATTCCATTTACAGTTTTGACACTTATGCTGTGCCAGGATGAAAACTCTTTGACTTGCACAGCCCAGTTCTGAAGGACTGATTGTACGTTAGATCTCAGAAGACATGAATCACCTGCAAATTTCCCCGTGCAGAAGGGAGGGCTAAACACCACGCTGCAGTATGGTGAAAGCTCTCAGGCACAGAGGGTACAAGGAGTACAAAAAACAGAAACAGGACAATAGATACAGCTATCTTTACTGTAAAACTTGCACATTTTACATTTCTGAAGCCATGCAGAATACTGATCACTACTTCCTTAACAGACGTTGCAACTGCTTAGGAGGAGATAACCAAAATTATTTGTCCCCACTAAAGCTAAGAACAGAACATTTACAGATTTCAGAAGGGTAAGGAATTCGCTACAGAATTTATTTCTAGCAGAAAACTTCTGATGTAATACCTCACAACTGCAGACTCTTAAGTCTAATAAGTTTAATAAGTTTAAATGCAATGGTTTTGAGAAGCTCTGAATTCCTCCAAAGGATAAAAGGAAAGACTCCAATCTTCTTTTTAAAACATGTTTCTAAAGGTCACACTGTAAACACTGTAGAACAGTCCTTGCATGCATTGCAACCCAGGGCTCAATGCCCACAACAAGCACCCTTGCTGCAGTGTGCCCAAACTTCTCTTTGTGAGCTCAAATGCTTCACGTGGAGGCCCCCATATTTACCAGGTGAGCGTTGTCTTGCCTAATGTATAAGTTTCTGTAGTCTTTCTTGCCACTAAACAGATATCCTCAGAAGTATTTATATAAAACTAAGATCGCCATGTATGAAGAATCTAAATATTTTTGAGAAGCTAGGCCTAATTCACATGCAACTATTAGACTATTCCAGAAACTGTTTTCTAGGATTTTCCAAGGGTTTTTTAGAAGTTAAAAGGAAAAATAATTTGTTATGTATTATCTGGAATAAACAAGACAATGTATAGAAGAGAGTGGTGTGTAAATGACACAAAAAGAAACTTTTCCAAAGCAGATCATGTTAAAACTTCTGGTAACTCCTTCAGCAGTTTGTTGTTTTTCAAAGTGTATGAAATTATATTAACATACAAAGCCAAATTTTACAAATCTTTTTCCTTGCCCCAGGAAAAATATGAAACTAAATCTGCTTTCGAAGTCAAAGTACTCAACTCTCTGTTCTAAGACAGTTTCACACACGGGTGCTCAGTTAGGTTCAGCAGCTTATCTCCTGACTTAATTATATCAGCATGATGAAAATCTGGCCCTGCAAGACTCCTAATTTTGTAAATATCTTTGAGGCTGAACACACAAAATTTGCCCCATTGGTTATGAATCATTTAAATCCACCATCAAAAGCAGTGGGAAGGTCCTGTGGAATATTGCCATAATAGACTATTTAAGTTACTTGCCATTTGGAAAAAAGAATCCAAGCTTCTTTTATGCTCTTAAGAACCATTCTCAACTATTGTCATGAAACCAGTGTCTGATTTAACTACCTAGCTTCAGTCATTTACACCACCAGCTCGCTAATGGCACAGCGTAGATGACTTTTATTGATGCAAAGCCGTTATGGTACTAAAGGGTAGTGTAATATAATAAATGATTACTGGATAGTGACAATGGAATTCACTATTTGGTATGTTACTAATCCAGTTTAATAGTGCATAATATACAAATTGTGATAATATGTGAAATAGTAGGTAACAAACCGGTTTTCATTTAAAAAGTCCTAGAATTCTCAAACAAAAGAGTATGAAGTAGCTTTAAATAAATGAAACACTAGTTCATGAAAAAAAAATAGGGTTCTTAATACATGAGTAATATTAACAAATTAATCACACATAATAATTACCACCGACGAATGTCAAGCATTTATTCTGTTTTATCAATAATTAAGTACTTTTATAAAATCATAATTTATAAGTCTGTGTCTTGGCTACAGTTTCACAAAATACATTACCAATTTAATTTAAAAAAAAAATTAAAAAAAAAATTTAAAAAGGCAACAACGGCAAAATGATGATAATAGATTAACAACATCCTTGCCAGAAGGGAAAAATAGGACAACAAAGGGAATGAAGACAGGTAGCTAGGAAAGGGGAGATACTGAGTAGCAAGTTGAAGTCGCTTTGGCACAAAGTGATCTGTCAGAACTACAGAAGTTAGCTGAGTAATAAATCTTTCATTTTTAGTGTACATTTTTCTTCTTATAAAAACTCAAATCCTCTGGGGGAAATAAGGCAGACTTGTTTGGTTTTATTAGCCTGCAGGCTAAAACACTAGTCGTTCTTTTTATTTTTGAATCATAACTTCATAGTCTACCTATAATTATCCTGTTGGAAAAATGTAACTTGGGATGTGACAAAACAGATACAGAAGGATTCAGGACTCCCCTAACTTGAAATTAATCAGACTGATAGATAGTTCAATAAAACAGAATTATTTTGGAGACCTGACAGCAATTGAAATAATACTCAGCAGCAATGGAAATTAAACACCATTTAAGAGGAGTCACTCAAGAAGTGGAGACAGCATAGGAGCAAATTACCTCTGAGACAATGAAATTTCCTTAAGTAGGTGGTCTGTGAATATTTTCAATAACTATTTCCAGGTAGACTATGTCTCCTTCAGAGCTAAAGGCTAGCTTACACAATCCCCAAAGTCCAAGCCAACATTTTGTGATGCCATGGATGAAATTAAAAAGAAATTCGCATTATTTACCTAGTAAAAACACCAAAGATTAACATTTCATCAAATCCCACCTCAAAGTCACTGAAGCACCAAAATTCAGTTGATTGGGAGTTGGAGCTGTACTGTCCACATACTGTTGCAGCACCTGGAACAACTGTGCATGTAAGGAAAGGAAGCCTCTACTATGACCATCTAGTCAAAGCTGACTGCAGAGTTAATCTGTTTTGCAGCAATTCTCCTACAAGTACATATTTCAAATCATTCTTAATACAGTTCCGTTTTCTCAGTGCCCTTTCCTTTGTTTATTTAAAACAGCTGCCAGGCACAAGCCAAATCCTTAAATGAATCTGAGCATGTATCCAGGCTGAGAAAATAAATGTTTTCAGTTGCAGAATACTTAATCTATTTAATGGAGAGTATTAGATATGATACCAACTCATAAACACCATGGGCTGAACAAGTTCTTCTAAACCAGACATAGAAGAAGATTATCAATGAGGCAAATCAGGTAATAATATGTAACACTGTTCATCCTATGTTGTTATTCCTTCTACTTTGTAAATAAACTGAGGATCAGAATCACTATCCAAGTTTCTACCATACAACACAAGATTGATACCACAAGTGACATTTTAGGGCCAAAATCTAATAAACTCTAGCCACAGCCTACCAAGAGGCACTCTTATAAAGTAAGCAGAGCACAGGTGGGCTAACTAATCCTCCTGATGCAGTTTTTGTCTCCTAAAAAAAGAGATAACTAGGCAAATGTCAAAAGGAGCTGGAAGGCTCTAAGTCAATGATTTGTACAGACTCTACAACACAGTGTGCTCTGCTCTCCTGATTTTTTCTTTTTTCTCACAAGCAATTTTAAAGGTGGTTTCAATTATACTTAGTACACAAAATACATCTTGTATATAAGACACTGAAAGCTCCTAATAAGCCCTTGTAATTTAATGGTTGAGCAACAAGTTTAAAAGGCTGCATAAGAAAGAAAGAAAGTAATTTCTATAATTAAGGTTTGATACACATGTAATAATTTGACCGCTGAGAGGTAATTTTATCTCCTATGTTTTGATAAACAGGAAGCTCTTTGATGCATGCTGTTACTTTTCTAAAAAGCTCTGCAAAATAGAAAAACATTAACTTCATGGTCCCACAGACAAGCATCCAAACAAAAAAGCAGTTGAAATAGGGGAGAAATGGGATCTAAAACTATAAAGCAATTAATGAATTTGGAAAAACTACTCCTGCCTCATCAGAAATGTGCAATTGTCATAAAGCAATCTTTCAGGCATTATCTACTTGTAACGCTGCTAGGATCTATCTTGTTTGCCCTGCTGGAGTTTGGTCCAAAATTTAGATAAAAAGAGAGGCAAAAAGGTTATGCCAGAAAAATATTTGAAAAAAAATAAATCAGGAACTGCACTGGAATTTATGTTTTCTTGTTTACTCAAACGGCCTTGAGACCAAGCAATGGATTTCAGCTGCTTAAAAGAAAGCGGGAGCAACAAGTTTTCTCTCAATGATGCCAGATTTAAAGGTCTGGGCTCACATTTCTGAGCAAGCCAACACCTTCTGGAAGCAGCAGGCACGGGAGACATGGAAACCAAACCCTAATCACCTCTGGCAGGTGCAGCATCCTCATCCCACGAGGCACCCCACTTAGGTAATTTTTGCTCAAGTCAAATCAGCAGCTTTTTACGGTGTAGCTAAGCAGTGGCATCCTGAAAGTAGAGGAGACTAGACGGTCATGAAGCGCCCTAAATTCATCGGTATGCGAAGATGCTGGCGGGTTTACGGAGGACGGAGATGCGGTACGAGGCGCCGCTCCAGCCCTCCCTCACGACCGTGCGGAGGGGTGCCTGCAAAACAGGGGAGAACGGGCGGGCAAAGGGTGGAGAAGGCATCAGAAGTGCTAAAATTCAAAGTAACAACACAAGGGCCGGAGTGCAGATGTGCGTGCTCGTCAGCGGGGCAGACAGAGCTCCCGTCAAGCGAGGGCGGACGGAGAGGAGCCGGGGCGGGGGCTGGGTCACTGAGGGAGCGGGGCTGCCGTGACAGGAGACACTGCCATCACTCACCTGCAGCCGCCGGGAGCTCCCGCACGGCCGGGCTCCGCCGGGTCCCCTCACGGCCGGGCTCCGCCGGGTCCCCACACGCCGGGACGCGCGGGCCCCCCCCCGGTCAGTGCCGGGAAGCGGCTCGGCCGCCCCTCCCCGGGCAAGGCGGTGCCTCCTCCCACCTCGAGCAGCCGGGTGAGCCGCTTCTCGGAACTTTCTCCCCGCTCCGGGAAGTTCGGCCCGTTCCCTTGGCTGCGCTCCCAAAGACGGAACGCGGGCCTGTGCCCCTACTCGAGGCGCCTCAGGGCTGCGGGGTGAGCCAAGCAGGACAGGGGGGCGGGCAGGACCGTGAGGGACAGAGAATGGACACGTTCCGATCCAGTCCCCAGCAGGCAGGAGTGATGTCCCCAGGCCGCCTTCATCTCCGGTGCCGCGGCCCCAGGTCCCTGTGTCTCCGCTCTGGCCCCAAGGCGGACAGGTGAGGAGGTGCCCGGTGCCCGCGGCGGGGCTCGGGCCGGGCCGTAACCAGGCTGGTCACCGCAGGAAATCTGAGCAAATCCCTCACAGAAACCGCGTCAAGTCCGTTCGGCTCACAAAGCAAACTCTTCACTCCCGAAAAATCACATAAAACATGGAGACCGGGAGCTGACCATGTTACTGTTGCGAGTCCCCATATGACTGGTCTCGTTCAGAGAGTACAGTATGCCAAAAGCTGCCTGGCTACATCTTCTGATGTAGCCATGAGAAAGTTTTGTTTAAAGCTCTTGCTCATCCATTCCAGGACATTCATGCTGAGGGTTTTTCCACTTTGTAGCACTTCCACATAAAAGAGGTCTTCTGTTTCTTTCTCTTTTTTTTAATTTTTAGGTTAAATATAATGTACCTATTAAGAAATTTTTCCTTGCTCTCCTCTGAATTATCTCAAATTCTTGAAGCTTATTTGCTTTTCATCGGGGGATGTGATCTGCAAAGATTTTCATCCTTATAGGCTATCTTATTTTTATACCTCATGATACATAATTTGCCATTTTTTTTGTACTAGCATAGCATTGCCGACGTACACTTTTCTTGTGGTCCACTTCAGCACCTTGATCCTTCTCTTCTGAACTG